AAAGTTAAAAGCGATTTTTTATGACAATCAATCAAGAAGTAATTTTCATTCAATTGCTATTCTTCCGGTCTCTCTGAAATCTAAAATTGATTTCCAGAGACCAACTAGAAGCTTCAAAAAGTCCCAATTTATAATTTTGTTGTGGTGGACAAACTGTAAGGTTTTCTCCTGATCAAGAGATTCTACACTCTTGTCCCGGCTGATGTATTTAGAAATATGACATGAACACTGCTTTTATTGATTCTTTTGCACGTGAAAACAAGTGCACATTTTTTTCAAATATTGTTGTGATCAGATTTACCGTTTTGGTTGTTCAGTACGTATTGTTCGACATGTCGAAGTTTGGGGCTAGGAATGATTTTTTTCATCCGTTCTTTTCTTGCAGCTCGAAGGATGCATCCCTGTAGTTTTTCACGTCAAGACTCGAACAAAAGCAAGAATTAGACGCAAGCGAGAGACAAGTTTACAGCAAAGGTAAAAATCGAATGCAACTTGATTTTTCTTCAGGCAAATTAATTTGCAAAATAATTGAAGCAAAGATCGCCCTGGTTAAGTTTCAAAATCTGCTCGCAAACGGTAAAACCACTACAAACAAGAGGACAGCGAAGATGGAAAGCAAATTGACCAGATTTTATTTTAAAGTATTGTCGGCAAGAGGTTAGAATTTCTTCAACAGTGTTTAGCTCATTTTGATATCAGAAATTCTGTCAAGCATTTGTCAGTTTTCAAGGTGAACCCTTTCCAAAATTTTTTATTTGGTTATTCTGTAAGTAACATCTGGTTAAATTGGCGTAATTTTCCCGCCAAAAAACTTAGAAAAAATACAGGCGCCCAAAATACGCATGCGCCGATTTTTTTTTTTTTTTAAATTTTTGTATAGTATAAATAAAGGATATTTTCAAGTTGCGTGTCTCTTTTTCAATAAATGTCAATAAACACTGCAATGTTGTTAGCAATCTTTATTTTATTCTAATAAACAAAACCAGTCTTTTAAGTTTGAATTCTTTATTCTCTTCAAATATTTCTTAATTAGTTAAGTAAATTTCCATAAAATAATCAAAAAAGTGTCGAGAAAGATTCGTTCAAATATATACTAAGACTTTTGGCGGGAAAAATTGAAGCAATTTGCACAGAGTTTCCCCTGACAACATTTTCGAATAATACGATAAAACCCAATGACTGGTTCAAAGAATACTTTTAGTTATACATACTTTGCGCGATATGTGACGTTCAGAAGCAAGTTATACAGAACGAGACCAAAATGAAAAGCAAAACAATTCCGCTCTTCGCTTTTAAACCCAATGATTGATAGAGGACTCTCTAGTGAATAAAAAAAAAGAAACCGGTTCTCTTTAGGTAATGGTATTTGAAACTTTTCTGAAGAAATTCACGTTGATTTTTAAGCACCATCACGAATTGATATTCTCTTAACACCATTAAAGGCGCTTTTTTGAAAACGAAAATAAAATTATTACGACTTTTAAGTTGGCTGCTATTTTGAAATGCAAACTGAATACGTGAAACTTTTTTGTTTACTTAAAACTTTCCAGACAATCTGAAGTGAACACCGGTGGATGATTCCACTACATTCTTTCGTTTGATTTAAATGTTTACTTGAGCTGTTATTACTGTCATAATGGCGCAGCTTTTTGTGAATTGAAGGATCAATCTCTGTTAGTTTTGAAGTTTCCTTCAGTCCTAAAAAAAAATAATTGATCCGCAGATTTGGAACTTCTAAGTAAATTTCAGCTCTTATTCGTAGATCAAACGTTCGTTTGGCGCAATGATATGTTGACATTGGTCAATTTTGTGGTCTGTATAACTGTAAACCAACGCTATTGCACGGAAAGTCCTCAGGATTCTCCGAACCAGACATTAAAGTTTTGTAAACATAACTTGCATGCAAATGACAAGAGAACTTAGACACGCGAGACTTCCGTATGAACACCACCAAACAACTAGTCTTTTCATGAACAACTCTTGCACAGTCTAAACGTTTGAATTTAGAAGGAACAATCGAATGTGTAGTTTGATTCGTTATATGGATATGATTAACCAGTAACGAGCATGATGACAAAGCCATTTCTCGTCGCTCGTTTGTTGTCAGTCAGTCTCGGATCCAATATACGTCCTGTTGTGTCAGTCTCTCTCATATCCGAAGTTTAGCAGTGGTCAGTAATAGTCGTATATTATAGGGATGTTGGTTGTCACGTCTGTTTTAGGACGTGGCAGTAGAAGTCTTAGCTGGTTTATGAAGGTAAGTGAGTCGGTTTTGTCGTATTAGGTCAACGTTAGTAAAAGAAAAAAAAATGATGCATTTTTCAAAGGAAATGTTAAGTGTGTCGCAAACAAGTTGTCTGCGTCACGTTAGATTTTTGAAGGCCGTAGCTTCGCGTGATGTTGTTGGCTTGTAGAATGACTGGTAATGTGTTCCGTCGCTATGTGTCAGATTTGTAAAATTGTAAAATATGATTTGTTTAAGTCTATAGCGTCTCTGGTAATAAGTATGCCACTGTTTTTTATGTCAACGTGAACGGAGTTGAGGGTATCGTCGACGAAGCGATTAAGTGTCGGTGTCAATAACTCTGCCTTGATGCCAATAAAATGAATCTTATAACAAATTTTTAGTTGCCAGTGTTCTCTTGTCCCTTGCAAGCAAGTTACCAAAGAATATCAATGGATCCTTTCGGGTGGCACTGACTTTTGTATCGGCAAAATTTTTTTCTAGAATGCCCAATTTAAAATTTTAGTTTTAGAAAAGCAGCAGAAATTTGCTACTAGGTTATGGCAAATCCTCATGTGCTTTTACAAAAGAGCCAACTAAGCTTTGAAATAATTGTAATCATGATGTACATCGATTATTGTTTTGGTATGTTATGAATAATGTCAGAAAAATCTATGCCTGTTTTGGTATTTCAGTTGTCTTTCAGTCATTGCCACCTTAAAACATCCACGATAACAATTAAGTCAGTGCGGTGCAAATGGTACTAATTGCTGCAGGCTACACACAAGATAAATCTCGAGCAACCAAATTTAGTCATACCAAATTAACTTGTTGCGGTTACCGTGAACTGAATTAGTAAAAAGGCCAAACAAACAGGTGATCTCCTTAGATCCGCCCCTGTTCCTGGAGATTTTTTAAAAAGTTTTCAATCAAATTCGTCAAATTTTAGGCTTCCCAATTGCAAAGGCTCAACCTGTGTGTAAATCTGCAATTTATTTAAATCATTTCAAAATTCTTATCTTTAGAGAGTCTCTCCTCGATTTAGTTAATCCAGCCAGTTTGTATCCTTGAATTCTTTGCTTTTTCGTCCTCTTGACACCAGATTTCCTGTAAATAGAAATGAGCGAAACAATATTTAGACGGTTGGCTAATTTTTAACTCTACTGTAATGACAATTAAGAGTTGGAACGCGAGTATATGTAAGTGGAATTTCAGACGCAAAATCAAGTTATTGCCGGCAACAAGAAGTTTATGTAAACCATCCTTTTAAAAGGTTTCTGTGGAATGTTACCGACATAGCTCTTTTACGCTTGTACGGACGCAATCATTCTAAACATGAAACCCACGTGGCTCCGTTGCACATTAATTGTACTGGGCTTTCAACTTTTTTGCGTTATTTCGAAACCTCGTAATTGAGATGTTTTTTGTCAACATAAAACATAGCATTAGCGTTCGTTCCGTCGAAATCACAAACAAAATTAATGACTTTTCTGCACTGAGAGCAGCACACAGAAAGACAAAGCTTAAACCGAACCGAAAGAACATGTGTTCAGAAAATTTGGCAATTTTAACTTTGGGGAATGAAATAAAACCAGCTAATTTCTAGCAACAAAGCTTACCTTCGTTTGAAACAACGTTGAGAAATGTCCCTATCTTCAACCCATTCCAACACCAAGCACGGTTTTTAGTACAAACTCTCCTTGAACAGTAACACGTCTTCACCCGATCGGCTCCCGCTTAGACTGACGTTTACTTTTCGGCCAAACATGAATATGTATCGAGAGAAAAGAACCCAATTACTGACGAATACGTCAGAGATTTGGAGCGAATTTTTCTTGCACGCGCATTTGTTACCTGGTGTCCGAGGCTAGGCGGAATTAATAAAGCGTTAATTCCCAAAGGTAATCTACAAGATTAATTGGGGATTTCATGATAACACAAAAGTGTAGAAGAAAAACAAAGGAATAAGTGAGATATAAGGAAGGGGTCGAAAATTATCAATTAATTTCACTCGCAGTTACTCACAAATTATCCGCCAGTTGAGTAGTAAAATGCGATCCTACCCTTGCCATGATTAGACAGATAGACAGATAGTTCGAGAAAACTAACAGGTCTGATAAGATGAGGGGGTAAGGGGGTGGGATGGATCTTCTCCCACTGTGTCGCTTCCTGTTTGGTTATGTACGCAGCGATATGGTTTGCGCAAAGGTCTATTGACCTTTAAACCCTAAGAGTGACCAGCACTGCTGAATCATTCATTAACCCCTTACACTCTAACACCAGAATGCACGCTCTCCATACTGTTCTCTAGAAATTTCCTAAGTTGCTTACAAGGAGAATTTATTTGAAAATCAAGAACTTCTATAGTTCATGATCATTCTCTTTATTCTCCAGGCCTTAATTTGTGATTTAGGGGTGACGTTAAAAGGAGAAATTAGATACTAATCACTCTTTAAGGGTCAGAGGGTTCAGATCAAAAAAATTTAAAAAATAATCGCAAAGCTACGAAGCTTTGATTGCTAAACGAACTTTCCTTGTCATCACCAAAGGATATGTAGAGAGATAATGGACCCTGACCTTGGGGTGTAAAAGATGACATGATCTGTGGCTAGATCGCCATTTACTCCTCCAACAGCTCAATACGACGACGGTTGTTGAGGTGGAAAAACTCACAGAATTCCTTTTATTCTATTGTTATTGCTTCTTACAAAATATTTCTTCTCCCTCCACCCGGTACAAGAAGCTTGTAAATATGCATCAAATAAACAAAGAGAAAGCTGATATGTCAAGTATTTATTAAGCTTCCTGAATGACAGTACCATTGCATGCGCACCAAAAATACATTTAAGCACTTTAACATTGTATTCCTTGTACTTGTAAACATATTTTTTTCTTATAACTTTCGAATATTACTAATTTGACTTAAATTTTACGTGGCTAGTTTTGAGTGAGCCTGCAGTACTAAACGCTGATTTTAATGACTATAGATCAAAATTGCATAAATAATGTAGAATTTCTTTTAGGTGCATATAACAATTTCCAGCAGCAAATGCTACAGAGACACCACTAACCAAACATGAATGTCTCAATATTTAACAAGTCTTTGATTGTCTCGAAAAAATTGCGCGAAAACCTTCGGGAATCAAAACTTCCTTCTCGAAAGTATTCTAAGTCAAGTGCCCTTTTAAATAGGGTCAATATCAAGAACTATAGGCGCCTCTAGTATTTCAAGGAAACGTGAAAAGAATTTCTAGCCTGGATCGTTATTGCGTGGCAACTCCTTTAAGATCCAATAAAGTATAAAAATTTGAGGAAGTTCTCGAAATCTTGATCATTTCTTGCACAGAATTGTAAGAAAAGTCTGAGTTTATCTTTTTTCACAAAAGTGTTTCACTTCAATCCCTTACCCCAAAATACACCGCCAAAAACAAAAACCTATAAAATAATGCTATTCATTAACAGGATCCCATCGTTCCTGTGCCAATCAAATAGTAGTTATTCGAGAATAATACTGCGGCAATGCGTTATCATGAATGAAAAGATTCCCATTAGATAGGATGAAATTGAGCAAAGTTTGAGGAACTGACTTCACTCAAACAATTGTTAATTTTTTTTCTATTTCTTGAGAGTCGATTACTTAAATACCATAGCTAGGAAAAACCATGTTGAAAGAAACTGTCCCTTCTCAATAGACTAGTATACTCCAGAAAACACAATTTTTACCTGCCATTAAAAAGGATGTGTGAATTTTAGTCGCCGACTGTGCTGTGAGATTCCAAAGAGCAACCTAACGTTTAGAAAGTAATCTTCAATCATGCAAACATCTCCAACTATGGAGGCCGCCATTTTGAATATTGCTTAGCAACCAGGCAGCTCATCAGAGATGTTACAGCTCCGCACTCTTATGCAGTAGGTACAAGCAACTACTGCGAGAGGGACGAAATCTATCTCTCTCCTGAAGCACTGTTTGTCGAGAAATGTAAATTTAACTTCTTAAATAACACCACATTGACAAAATTTCATTACGAATACAGCCCCTTCTTCCTCTAACGAACATTGTTCAAATATCAACAGCTACGCAGTCGGTCGGACCTCCTCACACCTATTAAACGTGGCTCTCATATTCGGGCAGACTGCCCGAAATTTCTGTTTTTCCCCTTCACATTTGCAATTCGAGGGTTCACCAAGGGCTTGTATCAGTGTCAATGGCCACACAATTGGAGATGGCATAGCTGAATGAATTACAAAACATACATAAAAAATCAAATAATTATCACGCTGTGGGCCACTTGGACCATGTTTCCATCATGTTGTATGGAATGATCGTCCAAGTTTGAAAACTTGCAGATGTAGAGACCTTTCTGCAAAATCTATGGATATGGTTGAAAGCCACCTTAGAGAATGAAGTATCAAGGTGGCTCTAAACCATATGAACAGATTTTATTACTAATACTTAGCAGAAAGATGAGTCTCCATACCCTCATTGCAATTTAATGATGTAAGTACAGATCACCAAAATTGTTAGGGAGTCACAGGCAAATAAAGCTATTAAAACCACGTTGGTAGCCTTTTACGTCAAAAAAGAAAATAAGGTCATGAGCTTTTTGAGAAGAGTTGGGGATTTTTTGGAACCCTTTTGCAAGGAAACACATTAAAACGTGTGGAAGCCACGCTCCATCAGAAAACTGGTGTCATAAAATAACGTAACCGTTACTCCATCGATGCCCCATTAGAAACCCTTGTTGCTCACCTTAGCTTTTCCTTGGCGATAGCAGAAGAAGAGTACTCCGGAAGGAACAGAGTGCTGGCACAGGTAGAGGCATGGGGAAGGCTGTCTTTTTCCCCACCCGCTTTAGCCACAGTAAAAGGAGCAGGAGGCCTCTTACGTCCCGTCACGAAACGAAGGAATCGACTCCGCTCCTCAGAGGTGAACTGAGTGAGAACTGCAAGCAGGTGTTTAACTGACTCTGATGACTCACTCAAGTCATCACCGTATTTACCTGGTGAAGATAACAGCTGAATTAACCCTGAATTAAACTCCCACTGGGAGATCGTGACGATGTAGCACCTAATTCTCCCTTATGGATCCTTGTGAATTGTGAAGAGAATTTGGTGTTGTATTTCGAGGTAACATTCTTAATCCGAAAAAGTAATCTGCTTTCATCATCTATATGCTTAATAATTTATGCACATCGTAAAACGTTCGAGTGAAATTTCATCTTTTTTACTCATATTGACAAGGCCAGTATTGCTATTTTTAAATGGAAACATATTAGACTCAGTTTTCAAAAACAAAGAAATGTGGGTTTTTTTTATGACTCCATATATTATACTTCTAGCTCATCTCCTACTTTTCAAAGACCGTTGAGGTATGAAAAACTGCGCTCAGATCAATCAAAAAATTAAAAAAGTAATACTTACACGCTGTTTTCAGCTGTGGAAGGGAAATTTCTCGGTCTCCACAAACTCCCCTTTCCAGGTTAGACCACGTAAGGAGCGAAAGCACAGACTCAGGAATGACTGACATTAAACCTTCCCTGATGGCTTGAACCTGTCAATCAATAACACCACAAGAATCACATTATGTCACAACCTTAACAGAGCAATTCCTAACCGGATGTCTAAAAACAGCCCGGGATAGCATTGGCTTTGCCGTACCATTCTCTGTGATTGGTATTTAAATGTTACCCCAGAATATTTAACATGATTCAAACAGACATTAAGAAAAATAGGAGTGGAGATGGTGGGGATGTGCTTTTCTGCTTCGTATTGGAGATGTGTGATTACACAAAGTCTTAAAATCCCAACGTAAACTCGTTATACCTGTTTTGTAAACTCAGTCATCCGCGCCCTCCTCACTAAAGCTGCATACTGCTGTCTCTCTTCAGGCTTTACCACTCTCTCCTCTCCCCCAGGGAGCAATTCTACACGTCGGCCGTCACTTACTACAGTGGAGAAGGTACATTCGCTGCCGTACGTACTTAGATACGAGGCCTCGTCCTGAACTTCGAGTTCATCTACGATGTTAAGAAAATAAAACACAATTAGCGTTGGAAAAAAAGCCTGTGCCAATATTTCTCCATAAGTTCATGCATAATTTTTTTTATTATTTTGCTTTTAGTTGAAAGGCAATCACCTTTTAATTGACCAAGGTCACGAAATTGTTATCCACAGGCCCAAATGGTAACCCACTCCCTTCATATCTATCCTCTCTTAAGCCCATAGAAACGAGACCTAAAAATCTCCATGTCTCACCGGTGATTTGAACAGCGGCTTCATCAATAGCCACGTAGTCCTTGGCCCACGTGACGTGTTCACCGACGATTAGTTTCCATACAAAAGGCGGGAACGCCAGAGTGAGACTTTCGTCACTGCGGAACGTACCTCCCATGAGGACCCCAAGCCAGTGGAACATGTGTAAAGAGTCACATGATGGATTGGGTATGAAACAGTCGAGAAAATCTCCCCTCTTCTCCTGAGAAAAGACAGACATATAAGACATATCACGACAATTCAATCTTACATTCAAAATGGCTCTCAGAAAAAAGCCATATTCGCAGACCCCCGTAAATCTAACAAATATATGCTGTGTTGCCGTGTTTCTGTTCATTGATAGATCACAAACGACACCAAAGTGTGGCAAGAAAAAGCTTTTGAGTATGCTGTTACTTTTTCGCTCTCACTGATTGGCGTCGACTCGTAATGCAAACATCATTGTTCCTGTGTCGGGGACACACTTGCTCCTTTTCCTGCTTTAAACTAATAAGACTTGACAAAACTCTGTATCAAATTAACTCTATGTACCTTATTATTAGGAGTTCTGATCAAATATGGCAGCACATCTGTTATGTGTTCTTCAGGTGGACACAACTCGTCTGACAGCTCAGCCAAAGAGTCGCGGAACCCTCCACCTTGATCAATGATTCCTTCACCGACGAATTTCACTTCCCACCACTGGTCATACTTCCATTTGTTCCATCTGCAATGAATGGCAACAACATAAAGGTTATGAAAACAGTTATGGTGCATTATCTTTTCCTCGCATTTTTTTTCCGCATTAATGACCCTCTGCAACTGAGTCAAACTTGTCAGTTGGCTCAAAGATGTTTTATCTTAAAAGAAGAAGGCATACAATACATTCCCCTCAAATTGTTAAGTACCAGCGTTTAGAAGTCCCTTTCCTCCAACCCAGAAGCCAACTTTTTATACCCTAACATCAGTATACATATTCTCCATACTGTTCTCTGTACATTCCCTAAGGTGTTGACAAGGAGAACTTGTTTAACAATCAAGAGCTTCTTTAATTTTGGATTATTTCCTAAATTTTTATGACCGTGCTGTTTGATTTAGGTGTGATATTGTAAGGAGGAATGAGATACAAGTCACTCTTAGGAGTCAAATGGTTAAAGGTTGAGGCCACGCAAAACCTTGATTTTTACAACTTGCCTACGTAACAGTTATTTTCAAAGGTACAACTTTTATTTCCTTTAGCGCGATTTAGTGGTTTTTAAATAAAATGAAAATCGTGCTGGTCAACTTTAGGTAGTGGAAAGCAGAGACATTTCGGAGATGCAGCACTGTCCCTGTCTTCCCAAAAATTTGGGAAGACATCGATCTGACGAAGGGCTAACGCTCGAAACGTCAGCCTTTAAACTCTTTACGGTAGCTAATTTACGTTTTCAACTTAGTTGTTAACACTCAATTACCTTCCCAAAAATTTGCCTGCTTTCTATTTTCAAACGCTTTTAAAGTTAGTGTCAGCGTTGTAATGCGATTCTGATAAATTCAAACCAGCTCTTTCTCGCTTGAGAGTCACGATAAGTCTTACTGTATCAGTAGAACAAAGGGGAAAAACAGATAAATAAACCAGATTAGAACAAACAAATTCTCTTGACGTAAACGTTGTTACTAACCGAAAATGAAGCTTCTCGCCTCTCAGCTCTTGGTACACCTGTTGGAAAACACTGCTCCTTAAGTCAGCATGACGCTCGATCAGCGGCACTCTCCTATCCACCAATATCACGGGCATGTAATCAGGCGCGGATAGTTCTGTCGTGTGCAACAGCTCTTGGACCAGCCGCCATCGCTGATTACAGAGAGGCAACAGGAACCGCAGTTTTGGTAACAAGGATGGTAAGTCATAGCGGACAGAATCACTGCTGTCAGTTTCCTGATTCATCAGGCGAACGCTCCATTTCTGACACGGTTCCACATGTAGCTGCCGGTGTTTGGCATCTGATTGCAGCGAAGAGGAAGAACTTGTCTGTGGAACATCAATCAACTCCTCTTTTGAAACTTCTGACGCAGACTCTATCTTCTGCGATAAAATAGAAATACGAGGCTCATAAGGTATAACTTAAGAACAAGATGATTCAAAAACCAAATTGTTAGCGGCTTAGATCGTCAATGATTGCTATGGAACAAATTTCAATTGGGCGTCGCAAATCATCAGAGAATGCTTCGGTTTTCCTTTACTTCTCTCTGTGATTGATCCAGTAAATCTTGGGCCACTCTATCAACAAGTCAGACCAATCGCTACTTGGGGTTGCGCGCGTTTTCCTGCCCTTCAGGCGATTTGCTTGTCGGTTTTCCTTGTAATTATTTTGTTTTTTTGTTTTAAGACAGTCAATCGAGAAGCTCTCCAGCAGAGTTCCTCTTTCGATAGCAATTTTCAATTGAGTGTCGAAAGTGATCTGGGATTGTATTGGTTTTGCTTTTCTTCGCTCTATGATTGGTCCAGAAAACTCGCGCCACCTTCTTAACCAATCAGATGCAAATCATAAACCAACTTGGTCGTTCTCATTTTCCCGCGCTTCAAACAGCAAGGTTGTTTTCCCATTTTGTTCTCATTGGCTTCTGGTGATATTTCATTTGCTCTGATTGGTCGTCGTGATTACTTGGTTTGGTCTGATGTCACTCAATTGCAAAACGCTATATTGAAGTTATCATCAGTTAAAGCGATAAACTAAATCCAAACCTTAGCCAATTGTTTTTCCTCTTCTTTTAGTTTCCTTAACAAAGCCAGCAAGTTACTCCTGTAGTGTTCTTGTTTCTGCTGTTTCAGTAACAGTTCATTTCGCTGCAGCTTCACATCGACACTATCCAAGTCAACAGATGTTTCCTGAGAAGATAGCTCCTGCTCTCTGATGCTGTGGACAAGTTGCTTTTGTTCTTCTATAAAATGGATCTGTCAAGCAAACGAACGAATAATTTAGGTCAAAAAAGCGAAACTAAAACTGATCGTTCTTTTTGCGTTTCTCTGATGCTTGAGAAAGTGATAGAGCACCTATTGAACGCTTGAAAAAGTGATAGGGCACCTATATGATGATTGAATGACGGTGCTGAGTTTCTAAAGAAACTGTGGTGCTGCGTCGGCAAGGAGTATTACAAGAAGTTGTTATCTTGAACAACAAATAATTTTCGTAACTAATTTTCAAGGAAATGTGTAGCAGATAGAAGTGAGAATTAATAATCAGATCTTGGCATTGAAAGGGTTGAGTATTCTCTAAGTAATACTATAATTTATACCAAAGCAATCAGAAATGAACATGGTCATTGTACCTTTTTCTTCACTGCTTTTAGCTGTTCCTTGTACTTTTCAAGGGAAGCAAGTGAAGCATTGATCTTTTTAAGATTCACCTCCTGTTGACTTTTCTTCTTCTTCTTTTCATTCAGCCCATCACACACCTTTTCCTTCGTATCAGCGTCTGAAGAACTATCTTTCCCCTCTGACACGGGACTTTGAGTTCCATCTGTCTCCAAAAACAGCCATGATGACATGAACGAGGAATCCGTAAAGGATTCCAGCTTGAATTTGTTAGAAGAAAAACTCTGGTCTCTTAAAACAGATGGCCCACTAACAAGATACAGTACTGAGTCTAGAATTTGAGCAACTCTACACAGAGCGATGGCCCGGTAAGCTAAGCTCTCAGTTGAGAAACAGGATAGTCGTGGATGGTTTATGACACTTGACTTGGAAAACAGTTCGGAAATGACACCATCTACTTTAAACCAACCCTGTTGAATAAAATAAAGGGTTTAATTCTAAGTGTAATAATTGTTCACATACCGTGTTAGTCATGATTATTGTACTAGACCTGAAAAGGACCCTGACTGATGCTTTAACAAATTGACAGGAAGCTGTCAACAGATTTAACCCATTAACTCCCAGATCAAATTTGTCATTCTCCTTGTCAACCATACAATTCCTATAAGGTTAGTTCAGAGAATTTAGTATTGGATCGACTAATTATCCCCAAATTGATATTTTTCTTTATTCTCATCACTTATGTGGTTGATATTGTATTGATATTGTAAGGAGAAATTCTGCCTTGGTCACTCATGGGAGTTAAAGGGTTTAGTGATTCTTGAATTTGTTATTGTCACCAGCCAAAGTCCTTTTTAACCCTTTAACTCCCAGACCAAGTTTGTAATTCTCCTTACTGTCAACCATACAATTCTTTTAATGTCAGTTCAGAGAATTTAGTATTAGATCAACATATTATCCCCAAATTGATATTTTTCTTTATTCTCATCACTTATCTAGTTGATATTGTATTGATATTGTAAGGAGAAATTCTGTGTTAGTCACTTATGGGAGTTTAAGGGTTGACAATGTCCTCACCCTATCACGATCACATTAAATGATTGAAGGAACTTAAGTCTTGCAAAGCCTTTTCAATTAACTTACTTTGCATTTTCCCTGATTTACTTTTTCATGAACTTCACACAAAAAGTGCACAAGAACAAGGTCATTGTTGATGTTCCAGCTGCTTGAAGGCAAGGCCAATAATCTAGTCATGTGGGCTTTTTCCATTTCTATTAGAACATTTGAATACCGTGGGATCTTCCTTTCAGGTTTTAAAAGTGGAGTTCTACTCTCATTTGATAAGGTTGGTTGACTGGTGACATCTTGCTTTAAGCAAGACTTACAGGATGAGTTTTCATCTAAATGACCATTGTCTGACATTCTTGGCTGTTCTATTTTGCTGCAGCAACTTGTTTGACATAAATCACTTTGACTTTCTTCTGTTGTCTCATTCATAGGAAGAGTATTCTGAGACAAATTGGAAGAGAGACCACATGAAGATGAATACTCCATTGAACCACTGCCTTGCAAAAACTTACAGCCATTTGTAGCAGAAGAAGAAGTTGTTGGACATGGCACTTTGTACAACTCAGTTCTGTTCTCCATAGTGTTTAGAGACTCTTCCTTCAAGACTTTTGCATGTGTTGGGTTTGCAGTAGGTATCCCAAGCTTATGAACAATCTCAGCATAAGACAAACTCTTTTTGCTGTCCTGCCTTTCACTTTTCTGTTTCACTCGTTTCTTAATATAAACATTCAGTGCTTGTGATCTCTTGTCACTGGATATATTACACAGGCTATAATAATACTCTAACACAGTCTGCCATATTTTGTCCTCTTGCAGATGGCTCCAAACACTGTCACAGCCAGTCTGATCCAGACTTGAAACTCTTGTGTCCTCTTGGGAGCCGAAGAAACAAATCTTTCTATCAACAGGTGATGTCACAACAGAACTTGGCTGCTTTTTCTGTTTTGATTTCTTATTGAAGTATTGCTGGATCTGTTGTTGACATGGAACATAACAGAATGGTACAGGAAGAGGTTGGGAAGTATGCAGGCTTTCTGAAAATTAAGCAAAGTAATAATACAGAAATGATTTGTTTGCTTTCAGAAGTGTTTGTAACACACAGTGGGGTCATTAAAAAAAATCACAACTGGCACAAGGCAAAACTTTCCGTTTAGTTTTTAAGTCCTTGGTTTTAACTTACAACTTCCTATAGTGTGTCTACTGTTCACTCGCAGAAGTGATCAACATGAAACTTCTCCCTACAATATCCTTAAATTATCCACCAAATAAATAATGAGAATATTCAAACTCATCAGGTGGAAGTTGTTATCCAGATCTAACACCAAATTCTCATAACTACTTTACAAGGAAATGTGTGGCAACTTGACGGGAGAATTAATAATTTGATCTTGGGAGTTAAAAAGGTTAACAGGTATATTATTCCATGTCACCCTGCATCTATTCAGTAATGGATTACAGATGACATCAAAATGCGCAAAAAAGAAGAAGAGGCACTGTACATTTTGACTTCTTTTTGCGATCTATCATTGTGCAGACCCAAGGCAAAATGAAATAAATTTGTTTTATATGAAAACAACACAAAATGTTTTTGATGATGATGTCTTCTACCCATGTCTGTCTTCCAGTAGACCATAACTGAGAACCAATCAAAATGCATGTAGAATTCAGCTGATGATTTAAACACCACTCCACGAAACACTCTTGTAAAGAAAAGTTATATGCAAGAATTTTTAACTGTTTAACTATGGCAGTACAGGAATGCTGCAAAAGTTTTGGCCTTGAAATAAGAGCATTGTCACACATAGATTAAAAAAAAAACATAACCTTTTGTACCTATAGAGCTTCAAATAGAACTTTATTCAGATAATGTGTGTAGGAATCTGACTGGAAGGTAACTGGTACTTCTTGGAAATATTTCCTCTGACATGGGTAAATCAGTGCGAATACTTCCAAGAAAAACCAGTTACATTCCACTAAGACTCTTCAGCCCATTTTGTCATTAGAACTAGGAATGAAAATTTTTGTCTTCAATTCATATACTCTTGCTAGGTTTTATAATGCAATTACAAGTCTCCCCTACCACTTGCTTCTTGAAGAGCCCTCAGTCTGGCCAAAGTCGTTCTGGCCTGTCCACGACTGACAAGTACATCAGCAGGTGGGTAAACCTTCCGAGCCTGTTGTTCCACAGAGATATTGTCAGTAACAGTTATTAACCATTTAACTCCCATGAGTTACCAAGACAGAATTTTTCCTTACATTATCAACAATATCAAGAAGAAAAGTGATGAGAATAGGGAAAAATATCAATATTAGTCGATCCAATACAAAATTATCTGAAATAACACCATAAGAATTGTGTGGCAGACAGAAAGGAGAATTATGAATGAGATCTTAAGAATGAAAGGGTTAATACCGCCTCTACAACATGATCATTTCACAAAAAATAATGCTAACTACACAACTTTCTGTATCACTAATGGTTTTGAATACTTGTAAATCTACCTAGAATCTTATAATTTTTCTCTTTCTAGTAACTAATTAACAAGGTACAGTGTAGCAAATAGAGGGAAGAATTAACAATCCTATTTTTGTGGAGTTACAGGGTTAAGAAATGGACGCATACATTAAAAAATAGACTGCAATTTTCCTTATACAAACCTTTGGTTTATTTCTTGGATTTTCCTTTGGAAAGTTAAGCTTGGGAGCATCAGTTTCACTATCAGCCATCATCACTAGCGGAGCAAAAGATACCTCACTGATACATGTCTGTTTTACTCCTGTGTCAGAAATCCTTTCAATCTTTAGTAACTAAAGAAAAAAAATTGAAACAGAACAAAGCTATAAATAGAAAAGGAAAGATGGTACATTTCAAGCTTAGTAATAAATAAAGAAAGATGTATGGTTGTCTTGTCCAAAGCATGGTTCAAAGAAGAGAAGACTCCTCAAGAGGAACTGAACTTCAGACTTTCATATTCCAAGTGAAAATGTACAATGATAAAACACTGAGCTATCAAACCACACTTATTTTAGAACAATTACTTTCAATTGTCATAGTAACAATAAATTACCTTGCAAAATTTGATACTATTTTAAGAAACACAATCCCTTTATATCAACAGCTATATTTTCACAGTTATTGCATATAATTATATAAATCAGCTGAGAACTCAGTTTGGCTTCAGTTCATAATTCTTGTGGTGGTTTCTGTTCTGTTTTCAATTTTTTGTCATGTCTTTCAGTCCCTCAGTCTGTAGTCAATAGCTAGTCAATAGACAAAAGCCATACCCGATCTCTACAAGGAAGGACAGCAAAGCCACCAATTTTGGTTAATCCCAAAATGAAAGGAACTTTATTAGGCGGACAAGCTGCCCCACAATAAACCCTGTCATAGCAGCACCCTGATGGATCCAACCGAAAACAGTTTCCTGCAATAAACTTGGGAGGACAAATGTCATATGCTACAGAAGGACAGAAGCGGAAATATTCCTCCACTCTTTCCTTTGCAAATTGTACAAGATCCTCGTGAACTTCAATTCCATGACTGACACCATGGGCTTGTAGAATGTAACCAGCTAAGCAGGAGAAATAACCAGTACCACTACCAATATTGAGGAATGACAGACCTAGCGAAAAACATAAATAAAAATTAAAGAAAATTTGTTTAGCATGTAGAATGGTAGTATGCATGGGAACACAGTGACAGGAATATCAAAAATTACTGGAGAAATGTTTAATTTAGTGCTTACAGGGAACTATCATGATCATTATTAGCAATCATGAGGTTAATTGTGAGATGAAGCAGACAGAAAGATTTGTATTTTAGCACTGGCTAGAGTTGTTGGGTTGTATTCTTACAGTAATACAAATGTAAATGTTTTCACATAAAATGACAAAACAAACCAGTTTGCAGAACCCATTGCCCAGGGGAGGGGGGGAGGGGCAATATAAACCTACCATGTATTTTATACATGAAGTGATTTTATGCGCTACAAAAACACAACTCAAATACAATTTGTGCATCTACAGTGATCTATTTCTAACAGAGCCATTACAAATTCAAAGACAGGAGTAGTAAGTTAACCCTTCTCTTGACAGAAACAGACCCATGCCGTCGAAAAAACGCATCACATGTCACTGGCTGCTGGTCATTATTCGCATTTCTAGCATTTAAATTAAGAAGTGCAAACTATTTAAAGGTAATCAAAAATACATAGGTGAAATAAGAAAGACTGGGGCATTCACAATGGTTCAGCTTTGATTCCTGTCAGGAAATATTGATCAAACTGGTGCTTGTACGTACATAAAAACAAAAGGTCCAGGACTAAGTTAGATTCTGTTTGTAATTAACCTCAGATACAATGGGTTCTAATCATGAAAAATAACTATTCTGCCAAAAAATTCATCTCATAATTTTGTCGCAGCCGATCGCTAGACTTTCGAAACTGAAAGCGGAATATCAAAAGGACGAGAATATCTCAATTATTTAAGCGTTAGTTGGTCATCAAAATATATCTTTTAGACTTAACCTCCATTGTCCAAACGGGACACAATTATGTGATTCTGCCGTAATCGATGAAGAAAGGATCAATTCGCACAGAAACTCACGCACACACAAAACTGATTGGAAGACTTCCCACCTGGAGACAAATCTAGGGCTTCTAGGACAGTAGCGTACATATGTGGTGCAGACATATGTACGTGTGGGTCCCCTACAAGAGGCGAATCAATGTAAGCTTCCAGCTGTAAGTCTGGGGGAACGAAAGCCCCTCTAGGAACCGTTCGGAAAGCCTCCTCTACTTCTTTGCTGCTTATAACACCCATATGCACTAACTTATCGACCATCTCTTCGTTGTTTCGACCAGTGCACCTCCAAGCTCCCGGCAAACCGGTCAAATGCCTACCAGTTTGAGCAAGCTCGAGAACCCACGACATTCTTCGACTTTGCTGATGCAACTTTCTGTGAGTACCTTCGACAGCTGTTCAGTTCTGGTTCTCTGAGTCAAGAAAAAGGTTCATAACAACGCTACAAGGTATTCATCCCATGGTACAGAGAGAAAACGGAACAGAACTGGCTCGTTAAATAGTATAAATAAGGTTATACAACGTCCTCGGAGGGGTTAGCTAATTGCCCAGTCTCTTTATCGCAGTAGAATAACACAGAGACCGCTTGGGACGACGGACCTGTCTGACTCGCACGCTAACACAAGAGGGTAGCAAAAAATGAAAATAAAAAGGGCGCGGGGGAGGGGAGGGGGGTTCTGATCCCGTTTCACGTACGCATTTTCGAAAAATTCGCTGGTCACGTCTGTAAAGGGGAAGCTTCAAATCTCTCTTCTTATGAACAAGGTTTTAGAGAAATCTTGATAGTGATGATAATTATTGGAATTACCAATAAATGCTTAGGGTTAGGGTTAGGGTTACACACATAATATTTCCCTCATAGTTTGGTAGTTTCACTGTTTATTACAGATGACGTAACTAAATCCAACAATAATGTTTCAATATTAACTTTCAAATCTCTATACCCATGTCAACTTTACACCAAACAGTAAACATCAACAAATCAATGATCTTTATGTATTAGCTGTAACTTAGGATATTCTTAAAATAATTCTATAATTGTAAAAATAATATTTGAGTTTCTTTTCTGGGAGTAATCACAAAAATAGCATTATAATGATGCAATTTTCTTAGTATAAAATGGTCAAAAGAAAACTTCGCAATAGTACAAAGTCATGCTTTGTCAATTAGAAAATATTATCAACAGATACTCCCTTGATATCAAGAAAATATTGAAAAATACTCTTCAACATTTAGGGGCAGCTGAGAAAGTAATTGTCAATCTAGACAAACTACCTGCACATTTTACAATTCTTTAACATGCATGTAGAACACAGTCTATGCAAACATGCAATTTAAGTCCCAATCAAAAAAAGATTATTGAAACCAAATATTTTCTAATATAAATTCAAACATATTCATAACAATTTATCAATATTTACTCCTATTGGCAAATAATCCAAAGATTTATGAAAAGTAGAAAATTGAACAATATTGTTACATAATGAATTTGTTACGGTAAGAACAGATTCTCTATGCATGGTTCACTTTCCAACAACAACACTCTTTTTTCCTTTCCTTTTTTTTCTCTTGAGGTAAATTGCATTTAGTAGAATTTACAACCATAACTAATTATTTGAATATATCAATTTGCAGAAATAAAAATTATCTAGAAATTTAGTTTGGGGCTTTTGGGAATGACAGTTGTTTAGGCAAATTTCTAACACCATGGAGAGGAATAACGTATTCAACCCTATGACTCCCGAGATCAAATCAGTTATTCTCCCGACTGACCACCATGCATTCCCCTGTAAATTAGACCAGAGAATTCCATTTTAAATCAATGGAACATCCTCTGACTGACAAGCTTCTCTGTTCTCATAAAATATTTTCAAGAAAATGTACTGGAATTTCAATGGGAATATTTGCACAGTAGGTAATAGTTGAAGTTAAACAATCAATTTAAGGTGTTAAACTTCCTTGATTTCTAATGAGCATAAAAAATGTAATTTTCTTCCGTCTTAGCTCTGAGAACATCGCATAATAGAAAAAAATGCTATTCAACCAAAACAAAATATCATTAAATCTCTTCTTGGGGCCTGTAAGACAGGCAGTTCTATACTGATGGGCATGTATAGTACTGTAACCATTTTGGATTTTTACAGCAGTAGAAGATTTCAGAGAAAAGAAAGTTTTACAATCACAGAGAAATCTTCTCCCTGAGTTCTTCAAACTAGGATACTCTGAAGAAGCAGTTGCAGAAATAATCACTTGGAGAATATTGTGAAACCTTTGTCCCTGTTAAATTTCCTTGTACTCCTGATGACATCTTACCTATTATTCTGCTAGAAAGACATACATTATGATAAAAATGTGGCATTTAGATAATTAAACTTATAATTAAGCAGGAGGAATTACAAAAATTGCCAAAAACAATTGACCACCATTCACTTACAACCGAAAAAACAACATCAACAGATTCTGACCAAACAGCAAGTAAATAACAAAAAACAGTGTTTCCTCATTTACCTGTTTAACAATTGGAATTCCTCAAGTATAAATGAGATTCAGAGATTCTATAGAGTATTACTATAAGCATAACATAATTCAACCTAGTCTATATACCTATAAAACTAATTTTGTGAGGACATATAAGGTTTTAATCAGTTTTAGCGTATGAAAAATATATTTTTATATTAAAACAAAGATGTTATAACGATCTCTTGGCTTTTTTCCTCTTTGCAGGCCGAATAATAGAATCCTCTTGACCTTCCAAAGCTGTTTATTAAATAACAAAAGAGAGTACAGTTAGTAAACCTGACTGATTGTCATTTGTATTGCATCTTACCACTGGAAGGACATAGAAAACTAATGAAATCAATGTCCAACAAAATTGAAACTGTGTTTTCATTTAATTACTTTATCACACAGAAGTATTTATGACTTTAGTTTTGCAGTTTCAATAACAATCTTAGCTTGCTATAGCATGCTCTAAATTTAGTCTTAAAAAAATTTACTCAACTTCCAAGCCAAACATATGCTGATACTTTCTTCTTTATGTACATGAAGCACCATTAAATCAACATTCAGGTCTTGTGAATAGAGAAACTGATCACCAAAGAAACTCTTGACTGTTAAACTCATTCTTCTTGTCAGGACCTTGGGAAATGTATAGAGAACAGTGCAGAGAGCAATGCACTAGTATTGCAAATGTCATGGGTTCAAATCCTGTACGAGCCCAATTTTTTTTCAGGCTTTGTTTTCACTACTGTTAATGTTCAGAACTGCAATGATCACTCTCATCCTCATTTACTAATCCTTTGCACCTTAACATCAGAATGCATATTCTCCATACTACTCTCTATACATTTCCAAAGAGGCTGACAAGGAGAATTTGGTTCACAATCAAGAGCTGCTTTAGCTGATGATCATCTCTTCTATTCTCATGACTTTCATGTTTGATTCAGGTGTGATATTGTAAAAAGAAATTAGATGTTAGTCACTCTAAGGGGCTAAAGGGTTAATCCATAGTTGATTTATATGATATTTACATATCTATAGTAGTGTGGAGATTATGTATTCTGGTGTTAGGGTGTAAAGGGTTAAAAACTACCTAGTTGTTTTATTAGCTCTTTATGATGGTTACTTCTCATTGTGATTAATTTGGTTTTGGTTGCACAACACTCAAAAATTGAGTTGCACTCTAACAACACCATAGGATTTCTTTCAGTCTTAACCCTTTAACTCCCATGAGTGACCATGACAGAATTTCTCTTTACAATATCAATACAATATCAAGCAGACAGGTGATGAGAATAAAGAAAAATATTGATTAGGGGATTATTAGTTGATCCAATACCAAATTCCCCAAACTAACATCAAAAGAACTATGTGGCAGACAGTAAGGAGAATTACTAACAAGATCTTGGGAGTTAAAGGGTTAAACTCCTAGCAGTGGTTGACAAGCAACTCCTTGTAATTCCAATACACAATTCAGTAACCAGGCATTGAGAATTCTCCAAAAAATATCAGCTGTAAAGCACTATCTTCTCTAAGTCATTTACAGTATTTAGAAGTGAGAATTTCTAATGAGATCTTGAGAGTTAAATAATTTAACTTACATGATCTTCTTGTTCCCACAAGATTCCCACTGTAGCTTGCATGGCTGTATCCATTACCATTGCTGTTCCCAATGTTCACATATGCTATGGAACTGTCATGGACAAAGCTCAGAGTTGGAGTTGAAACATGACTACTTCCTTCTGCCAGATCTTCATTGGAAAAGTGCTGCAATTTTCCAGGGAGAAATTTAGGAGAAAATGTTTCATTCAGTTCTTTAAGCTCTTGGCCTTCATTCTGTGTCCCATTTTGATTGTTTTCCATCTTAACAGCATTGTCCTTACATGAAGCTGCCACGATGACTGAAGGTCTGTCATTGGTTAACTCCTTTAAGTCACTTTGTCCTAGTTCAGATCCCTCTTCAGGTTTCACCTTCTTCAAGATTTCAGAGTAAGAACTTCTGGAAATGTTTGAATGTGACAGTTCTGACTTAGAAAATGGAAATTCCTGTGGACTAGACCCCACAGCTGTTCCACAAACAACTGAACTTGAATCAGAAGTTGATGTCACAGCTGCAGAGGTTATATTTGCTGGATTGGAAGGCACTGCAGCGACATTTGAGAGGCTGCCAGGAGTTAGTGCTTGCAGTCTACTTCTGTACAGTAAATTGAGCTGTTGCCAGTATCTCATGGAGCTTGCCAGGTCAATAAACTGTGTCTGCACAGGAGCTGTGTTACTGTTGGTTGAAACCAAACCAGCAGTGTTCAAACTGTTTCCTTGATGAACTGACATTGAAGAATCGTTCCTTGGCGTTGCTGCAGCTCCACATGAAACAGATGTGTCTAATTTCTCCACATCTGTATCTCCTTTCTCCTGTTTGACTTCCTCACCATCAGGATTTTTAGCACCACTGGGTTGTGCTACTGACAGATAAGGGTACACAATACTGATAGGATAAACATAATTCAAAGGGTATCCAGCTGGAACTGCCTGCTGTGCCAGTTGGTTGTTGTTAACATCTGTGTTATACATTGCTGGGTAGATACCATACTGTGTTTGTGGACCTAAAAAATATGTTGGAGAAACTTGCTGATTGGACCAAGTTGTTTGAGTGTTTGTTCCAGCAATAACAACATTAGCAGCCGGCAAGGCTGACCTTGCAAGAGTCAGATTTTGCACATATTTGGTTCCTTGGCTCACTGTTTGAACGCTGTTACCATCCTGTGGGACAATTGGAGATGCTACAGGCTTTACAGCTTGTGGACTGTTGGTAATTGGCTTAGCTAGGGATACTGATTCTTGTGAATCAAGGGCCAATGCTGGAGTTTTCATTATGACTGTTTTCAAGTCACTCTGCAACACTTTGCTCTCTTTAGCCAGTTCCTCTTCAGGAACTTTGTTAGAGATGTAGACAGAATTCTTTATCTCAAAGGGTACTGATGTGGTTGTCTGAGAAGAAGTTGCGGCATTAATCTGTGCAAAAATGGATGGTGAATTGTTTTTTGATGCTTGCAAAAGTGAAGTTGCAGTCTCGCTAGAGGGAGTTTCTAAGGAAGATCCTAAAGTTGATCTGTTGACTGGAAAAACATTTGCACCTGACCACAATACTTTGCGTGCTCCATGATAGGCTGGTGTTGTTTGAGAAGAGCTTGTAAGAATGTTTAGTGTTTGGGAGGATGTACAAGCCTTAGATGATGTAGAGTGGGTAGTAGGTTTCGTGGGTAAATTTCTTTCTCCAAAACTCAGTGAATTGGTTGTGATACTCCCTTTGCAACTCTGGGATGTATCTGCTTGTGAATTTGTACTGGATGGTACATTCAAAGTAGAGTTCACTGTTACTGTGTTCGTAGAAAGGGACGTGAGAGAATAACAACGGATATTCTTCACATGCTCACGGTAACTTCCAGTTATTGCTGCTCTCTTGTTGCTCAATGAGATTCTGGGTTGCCCTAGTAAAATACTACTATTTGAGCTAGATTTTGGAGTAACAGTTACAGTTTTGACTTCAGATGAAGAAACAGAAGTATTTCCCATGGTAGAGTTGCTGGTTTCTTTAGTGCCTGTATGTGCTTTAGCTAGCTGTTTTAACATGTCTGCAGCACTGTATTTGCTTTGATCCATGTAGCAGTTGTAAATCAGCTGACGAACTTCCTCTTCCAGATTTTCATCCGAGCTAGTGCTACTTGTTTCTGACCAAGGACTTGCACTGTTGGCTCTTTGACCGTTAGGAGAAGATAAACGCCGATCTGCTGAAAATCTGCTTCCAGAAATCACAGCAGGACTTGGAGGTGTCTCGCGGCTATTTCTGCGAGTTCCGCTACTAGACTTCCGTAAGTTTGACTCTGAACTCGAAAAACCTCTACCACTCGCTAAGCCAACATTACTGTGCGATATATCCAGCCTAGATTCTTTGTTTTTGGAGGAACTTAGTACTCCATTCACTGACAGAACTCTATTGTCACTACGAGTTTTGTAATCCGATAGTTGAAAATTGGAGCCATTCGTAGATTTGTCGCTTGTGCCCGAGATCATGCTGCTGAATAATTCATTTGCCGGAGCATCTCCATTAGATTTACCTGCTCTTATGCTTGCACTCTTCTCGTCCTTGTGATTAGATGAAGAGAACGATGTTATTTGCGCGGTTGCCGGTTTGTCTGCATGCGACAAAGATGTCGGCATATGGTGAACAGTCCCCAAATTACGCAACGACGAATGCCTCTTTGTTATTCTTCCTTTACAAGCATTTCCCTTAGTTTTGTTGGATTCCACTTCCGTTCTCTTCAGTTTTCGCCTTCCCAGCTTAATCCCAAGAACAATGCTTTCTCCTTCATTGATCTGCACAGCTAAAACACCCAGATCAAGCAGGCGACGATCCTTGGAAATCGCCAAGCTGCGAAGTTTGTTTGCTGCCTTCTTCGGAACTGGAAAGCTGACAGTGAGTGGAGCATCACGATGACTACCTGTAGGATTCCTCATTTCCTAAACAGAGGAAAGTATTCCTTGTATGATCTGAAGCACAAACTTTCATTTACAACCCGATGGAAGATTTCTCACGTTGACACGCACTCTGCGCACGAAGGCGATTATAGTGGTGTAATAAAATACCCTTGTCTATCAAAATTCCTTCACTTAACCCACGCGGAATGGCTAATTCTCGCAGAGGTACGGTGTCTGAGAGGCATTTGAGGGAAAAACCACAACAACTGTGGAGAAACCTTGCGTATCGAACTGAGACAAACACAAAGCCAGTCAAGCGTAAAAAATTTCTTGTTCAATGGACAATTTGTCTTGTCACGATTTTGCATACATTGCTGGTATGTTAATGATTACTCTCTGTCCAAACTGGACTCTCCGCTCAGGGAGATATTTTACTCAGTGGGGGTCTAGTGAGGATAAACTTGGTGCCTTTTTCGGACTGATCCGGTCTATCAAAAGCCGATTATATTTAATCCGGAGGAATTAGGCGTTATGTTAACGAAAGTCACTTACAATTCAGTGGAATCTACTGTTTGCTGTGGAATTTAACAATAAATTGCGGCATACTTCACGGAATATATTTATTTGGTTTGATCAGGGAGACCACCGGATTTCTTTGTTGAATTGGAAAACAAACTAAATGAGCGGCATACTTCACGGAATATATTTATTTGGTTTGATCAGGGAGACCACCGGATTTCTTTGTTGAATTGGAAAACAAACTAAATGATAGTGATAAATAACCCTCCCCCCTCCCCACTCTGAAAAGAAGCTTTCTGTGGTATGTTTTTGGGCATTTGCTACCTGGATCTCCAAATGTGGACCTCGTTTTTCGAACGAATTTACATTTGCAACGACAAAATTATACCCCGTTCTGGAAAAAGGATAATTTTGAAAACTTCCTAGCCAGAAATACATTGTACCTCTCCGTATTGTTTGGGAGGTCTTTGAAGGAGACCCATTTCTCAATCTATCTCCAATTCCTAACCATGTTTACTTCTGCGATTTTATCAGCTTTGTTTGTCTTTTAATCAGTTTTGAATAGTCAGCGCTCAAGTATCCCCCTCAGGTAGGGTGCAAGACACCTCCAATGAAAAGCGAAATCGGGACGATACTGCTTTAGGTGGGAGGTAAATGACAAAGTGGGTAAAACGTCGTTTCTTTCAGGAACTGTAATCATTACAGTTAAAAAAATTAAACGAGCCTGCTAGTAGAAAAAGAAAAAATCAAGATGTCATTCAATAGCCTGCGAGTAAGCCGTCATTATCAGCGCTTTAGTACGAGTGTTCTTTCGCCGCCAAGAAAAGTATTAGGTAAAGCTACACCGCGAGAGATCAGAAAGTGGTCTGGCACAGATCCCTTACGGACTTCTCGCCGACTCTCTTACTGGCAGACGAAGAAGCGCTCGAGCTGCAGCATGCTCGCAGGCTGTTATTCAGGAGAAAAGAGAGTTTAATGTTCTCGGTTGAATCAAAGAAAAGATGACACTGATAAACATGTCCGCATGGGTGGTATGTGACAGTAATCCCATTTGGTCACAAGTCGGGGAGAGTTTAGAAAAAAAGCCTGAAATTTCATGGCATTCAAACCGGTACTCAGGGGAGATCAAACCGCGGAAATGACTTTGGAGGAAATCAATCGATAAGAGGGCGCTCTCCCTTGTCAATAGCCATCTCAAAGACAAACCTTGGAACACGTTCAAACTAGGTACCTCAGGGGGTGAGGGAAGGGGACATTGCTCTGCGCCTCTCCCATCGCAAACATCGACTCTTTGTCCATACTGGCCGACTAACGATGATGCGCAACGGAACAGCAATTAAGCAACCGCAAACAAACAACATTTAAGTTAAACCAGAGAACAGCCTACTACTGTTGAGGGACTGTGTAATTTTAATAGTATCATTTACAACTGGATTACCACAACCGAAAATCTGTCCGAGGGCCGGTATGTTCAAAAGACGATTAAGTCAACCCAGGATTAGTGCGAATATTTGATAGAACTATTTGATTTGCTGACAATTGAGCCATTTCTACTCTATTTTCTTCAGTTTTGCTTTATGTCGGGCTAAAATTCCTTTAATCCTTTCTCCAATATGTGCATTTAAAAGAGAGAAATTTACACAGTGGTTGACTTTTAAATTCTAGTTTTCGCGCTGAACGCCTTTCTAACAGCCGGCCCCTTGAAAAAGAGCTGTTTCTTTTTAAAACTGCAGTTCCGTTACTAAGCCATCGGTGCTTTACAAACTAAACAGATGATATTTTATCACGAAAATTATAACTTTGCAAAGCTTTATCAATAGTAAGTTTCTGAGCTTTACAAGTGTGCGTAAGGTAGTCTAGCATGAAAAAGAAAAAAAAACACATCTCAGGCAAAACAATTTGATACAATCGATAAACGATCTAATGTAAAAAACAAAAACGCTGAAAAACAACCTAGAGCAGTTTGGGCGGGCTAAACATAGTGCCTTTTTTCAATCATAGGGGGCATTTGCTTAGCAGACACTTCAGCTTTAGCGGTTTTATCAGGTTTAACCGGTTTGAGCACATAACTGCACTCCTCGTTCCCAAGTTCCTTTTTCATGCACTTGATGTACCTATCGATATAAGACTGTAGGAAAGACAGCGGAGCTGACCCTTGACTTAACACCTGGTAATGGAAATCCTTAAGGTTGAAATTCTTCCCCAAGGCTTCCTTAGTCTTGTTACGCAGCTGCATTAGCGCCAGTCTCCCCAGCATGTACGCCGTTGCCTGGCCTTGCACGCTCTGGTACCGTGTAACTTCCTTCACTGCAAAATCCGAAGTGTCCCAAGCATATTTTTCGAACATCGCAAGGGCTTCAGTTCTAAAGGAAAAAATATTGTTTTGTGCGACTTCGCAAAAAGCATCGTTGGGGTGGAGGTGTGAGAATTTTTTAAAAAGCTACCAGTACAACTTGCAGCTTACAGCTTTCAAAAAACAGTCAACCACACACAACATGACAGGAACATGAACTTACCTACTGAGACCTCGATAATGCAGCCCTGTGTCCACAATAAGTCGTACTGCACGCCAGGTCTGCATGACAAAAATAACAAACAAAGAAACAAGCAGACAAAAAAACGTGAATGCTAAGTATAACTCTACTTGTAGAAACTTACTTAATAGGCTACATGTTTATCAATTTTTCAAAACTGGCGCCATGATAACTAAGCTTGCATACCACAGATTTAAGACGCTGGTGCTTTACGATTGCCCTGTTTAGACAAGACTTTCTGTTGTGGTTTCTTGTGCCACAATTATTTCTTTTGCTTTTATTACAACCTTTAAATGGTGTATATCAGAAATACACTTCAAAAGAATACCATCTTAGTAAGAGATTTTGGTAATGCAACGCATACTTCGTGGGCGCGAGGCAAAAGATAAAATATTATTCCTGTGTACAGAATAAATGGGTAGAGTGGAACCTAGAAATCACTCAAGTTTCACACATACCTGCCATTTCACCATGCCATACTTCTGCAGCAGGTTGTCTTTGTACGTATCCGTGTCATCAGAGAGAATAGGATTTTCACTGTATAATCCCCAGCCCTCAGTGAAAGCGGTGTAGTATGTGTTGTTATCCAGCCAGCCTGGTATTCCTCCACACTGGTCAGCAAAGTGCTCTACTTGGCCTGAAAGCACACCAAAATACACGAGTCAATACTCAAACGAATCCTAGTGATGTACCGGTAGTCAAGTAATCCGGAATCACATTGTTTTCCTTTTCTTCGTTTCCTGATTCGTCAGAGGACTCTCTCCCACAAAAAATAGCCAAGATTTCCCAACAAGGATTCCTTATTAGTTGAGAAAGCCTCCTCCACTTTCGGACAAGCGCTAGCCTGATGGTTCACGCCCTTGGTTGCTTACTGAAAGGTGCGGATTCGATACCAGTCAAGGGTCGTAATGTTATGATCCTAAGCGAGAATATTTCCTATTACAGTATCTATTTCCACCCAAGAGTACTATGGCTACCAGAAAGCTGGCCTGCAGAGCGAGTGCTCAGTATTTTCTTAACGAAATTATGGTCGCCATCTTCGATTTTAATGGCATCGGAAGGCTGAGGAGAGTAAGAAATTTGTACCAAGGGGGCAGTCGACGGTCAAAAACAAGGAGAGGGGTGAGGGTGGGGGAGTGCTCGCCCTTCCCCCTCCTCCTTCCCCCACCATCTAACTCCAAACGAATCATGGCCGGTCGGATAAAGGAGCGCGAGCTTATAACGTTAACTCCAGCATAAGAAGCCTGCACTGCAGGCTCCAGAAAGCTGTCAGCGGAACCTGAAACATCCCATCGAAAGGGAGTATCGATACTCCAAGTTGCTGAGAAAAACCAAACAACTAATACCTACCTTGCACCTGAGTATGGTGACCAGGCCTAGCCTCATGACCGGTAACGGACCACTCTTGGAAGATTGGGCCGAAGTCTTTCAGAAAGAATGGAAGACCAAAGTAAGTGGGTTTGGAACATTCTGCATCAGACATCATAAAAAACTGAGCGCCATTGGAAGGATTGTAATGTGGTAACATCTCTACAGGACAGTTTGGAACTGTGTTCTTGGAACCAGTGAAATAGAACGCATTTGTGATCTTTGGATAAAGCATCCCCATTACTTGGCGACAGTACCGCGCCCATCTGGGAGTGAACAAATATACAAGGTTAGGCTTTCAAATTTCAACTCAATGAACGGCTGAAGAGTAAGAGAAAAAGCTGAATTAACGACAAAAATAAAAGGGGTAAGTTTCTAAAGAAACTGTGGTGCTGCGTCGGTGGAAAAAGTATGACAGGGTAATTCAGTATTATCAACTGAGTTGATAAAGTAAATTGGCCACCGTAAAGAGTTTCAAAGCTGACGTTTCGAGCGTTAGCCCTTCGTCAGAGCGAATGTCGAAGAGCTAACGCTCGAAACTTCAGCTTTGCAACTCTTTACGGTGGCTAATTTACGTTATCAACACAGTTGATAGTACTAAATTACCCTGTTATGACAAAAATACTTTCGTTAACTTTTTAGTGGGCAGAGAAACTAAGCATAAGGAAACGAAAGTGTCTGCATCTCAGAAGTTTTGGGATATCATGTGGCCGAGACTAACAAAATTATGTATACTGGCATGATGTATTTGCCTAAGGCATGCCTCCATAGGTGGTAATGCCATTGTACTTGCTGAGTGGGACTGAGTGTCGTGAAAACAAAACAAGAGTAAACCCAACCACCAATCAGATCAAGAGAAAATATTGCAACAAGCCCATGAGGGTTCAAAGTAACATCAAGCAGTCTGCTTCTAGCGCGGGAAAACGCAAATGGCCACGCCAGTCACTATAGATTTTAGTCTTGATTACGATAGTTTGAAAAAGTGGTGCAAGTTTTCTAGACCAATCACATAGTGCACGAAGTAAGGCAAAAAGAAAGCAATTCTGCACTCAATCGAAACTTGCTCTGATACCCCCTAAGTAATTAATAACAACTCAAATTTCATACTTGTTGACGGCCTTCCACCTCACGGGACAGAACTGAGCAGCTGTCTGAGGACTTGTACACTTCTTGAAAGCATTTTCATCAGATTCGTTCTTGGGAAAAGAGCCATTGTTGTGCCACATGCTGGAGGAGTTCAGTATATCGCGAAATACCTGGATAGCTTCTGTTTCATTTGATTTCCCAGTGTACTTTTTCGCAATATCTACTACCTGGAATACAAAAAAAAATTAACATTCTAGGAACAGGAAGAGGCATTGAATCAAACGAATAACCCTTTCACTTCAACGATAAAAATATCAACTCTCAGAACTGTTTGTAATACATTTCTAATGATATTAGCAGTGAGAATTTGAGGTTATACAAAATACTATCCCCAAGTTGATAATTTTCTACTTTCTCATTACATTTTCATTTAAGAACACACTGATGTAAGGAGAAATTCCTTTGAAGCCACTTTCATAGAAAAAAAACTGCATGCTGTCCATTATTCTTTAAAGAAAACCCTTTCATTTAGGAGACTAACGTGAGAGAACTCTAGTGGGACATTTAAAAATCCAATTGCCTGGACTAGAGACATTTCTCTCTTTCCTCTCCTTCAGTCTTTATCACTCTGGAGAGTGACAAGGTGAACTTACCTGGCCATAGAAAAAATCCAACTGTCTCTTTCCCTCAGCGAAAATATCCTCAGGCGAAATGTCAGTAGTTGTAAAATATGAAAGAATCATCTTGTATGATTCTTTACCATTCAGCTTCTCTCCAGTTGGCAGAATTTTTGTGGTGGGCTGACTTTTGTCAGCAATACCATCAGTGTACACATAATCAACAGGCAAGTTGGCCAAACCACTTGCAAAATCATTTGGCAAACAGTGCCTCCTATGCTCAGTCTGAAGGTAGTTTATCAGATCTAACAAAGGCTGGCCAACACCTTCTTTCAATGCATCTTTTAGCGAGTCATTCACACTCATGCCATTGTGGGCAGTGGACCATTTCTGGTTCACTCCATCCTCCAGATTAGCTAGGTAGTCTGAGTTCAAAATATAGTTCTTCACAAAGTCTTCACTGAGGATACCTTTGCTGTTATCAGCCAATGAAAGCTGTCTGTATTTCTCCTTCAGAGCATCCACACCAGCTTGACAGTCAATTACTGTACGTATCATCCCAGCTTTCACACCTAACTTCATATTTTCTCTATCAAAATTCAAACATATCACAAAACCCAGATTTCATATAACTCATCCATGATTATACAAGATGTACATCAATTTCTGCATAACTAGTCAAGTGGGTGCTTGCAAATCAGTGATGTGCAAATGCAATCTGGAAGATAATCTTAGCCACTAACAGTTTTTGCTTTGTTCAAAATAAATTTTGCACAATGCCAGAGGTATGTTGTAGCTGCAAGGCTGGCCTGATGAACCCTTTTCCCCCTCCTAGAAAATCAAAAGGTGTCAACTCAGAAAATATAGGGAAAATTCCTAAAGGGCAATATTATCTTCTTTTGAGGGTGCCACCCAAATTTATATGCACCCTTAAGACACAACATATCCTAGACAACAACTATGTGGATGACTTTTCTCATTTGATTATGGTCCAAGAGAAATAGGTATTTTACACAACAACCACTTACTGAAAGGAACCACACCTACTGTAATCACTTTAGGTTAATGCACCCTCAATATTTTTCTTAACCCTTTAACTCCAAAGGTGATTCACTTGTAACTTCTCCCTATAATATCCATACATTATTCACAAAAGGGTGATGAGAATACTCAAACTTATCAGGTAGAAGTCATTATCTTGATCTAACACCAAATTCCCCTAACTAATTTACAAGGAAATGTGTAACAGCTGGAGGGGAGAATCGACAATTAGATCTTGGGAGTTAAAGGGTTAAGGGATTATTCCCACAAGACTGAAGTATGAACTGGGTAATCACAGTTCAGAATCCATCACAGGCAAAATGTTTTGGGTCATTGTTTTTCTAGTACTCCTCTTCATCCCTGAGTATTCATGGCTATGGGAACATTCACAGTATGATAGAAGCCTGACTAAATACAGGGAATGCAGTTAATCTATGATGCTCCCACATCCCATTTGAGAGAAGAAGCAATTTTAACTGAGGTTGTAATCATAGGCAGCCAGGAAACATCATTAAGTACACAGCAAGGGGTTTTGCCAAAAACTTTTGATATCTAATTAAGTATAAAGTGAACATGTTACAAAATATAGACTTGATACACCTACCCTCTTCAAAACTTACAGAAAACCTTGTAATCAAATCACAACTATAACTTCCAAGCAGTTCATTTATATCACAATATATATGTACATACCTATAACGATCAATTGAAGTTTTATGACTCTTGAAGGTATTGATAACTAGTTCCACATCCTTATAAGTCTTTGGTTTAACATGATACACAAAAGCACCAAGGATGTGATAGAGATTACAAATTAACTGCCAACAAAATACATCAGGGCCCAGCATCCAGTCTCCAGCATAATAATTCTCACTATATGGGGCACCAAATGTATGCTGGAGAAAATGCTTGACCTAAAAATAATTTTTATGATTAAGAACTGAAGAGACCACAATTATCATCCATTACCTAAAATTGAGTTGAACATCCCCTAAAAATGGCTCAACTTAGAGACAAATAAAGACAGTATCTTTTACACTTCTTTAAACCACACTGATATAATTCAACTTCTGAACAATAATTATTAGCATGCTTAGTCTGTGTATGTCAAGACTGAGAAATAGTAATGGCATCTTGATTTTGAATTTTTCATTAACCCTTTCACTTCCTCCATCTCATAAGTAATTCTCCTTACTGTCCATTATACATTTCTTATTATATCACCTCTGAGAATTTAATGTTGGATCAACTTATAATCCCCATTATGATATTTTCCTTTATTTTCATCATGTTTTTGTGACATTGTATTGATATTGTTGGGAGAAATTCTGTCTTGGTCACTAATGGAAGTGTACCTGAGAAAGTGCCTTGACTTCTCTTGGTTTCATTTTGTTTTCATCAATTTTAATGCTGTTTATTTCTTGAAGCAGTTCTTTTGCTTTGTCTGTCTTTTGTTTCAAATATTTTGGGTCAGGATTGTAGGGTGCAAACCTGCAAAATAACAGCTCATTTATATACCACAGTGCTACATGTATAACAAGCTGGATGCTACTATATCTTTAAATATACAGTTATCCTACTGGATTCAATCAGCTGCAATCAAACTAATGGACTTTCAATTCATCACATAATTCTGTCAATATATAAACCTTATTTTATGGCTTTAAATATATAATAGATGTGGATATTTTGTGATTTGCATAGCATTTTTTCAAGCCCCTTAGGAGTGGGTACTAATACAAACAGTAGGTTTATTGTTCACTCCAATTAAATGTCACGCCATTGAATAAGGGATTTAAAATTCTTTCGCTATTGTTTCATTTTATAGTGGTCTGGTTTCTAGTTTTCAAAATACATCTCACAGTCTATCTGAGCATAGTACTGATCAAATATGGAATGTGAGAGAAATGAAAACGACATGAGCCAAACCGAGCCAATTAAAGACTCCTCACCGTTTGACCCCAAAGGGTGACTAGTATTTAATTTCTCTTTGCAATATCACCCCTGAATCAAACATGAAGGCCACATCAACTAAAGGTGCACCTTTGGAAAGTTAAGGAGAACTGTGTAGAAAATATGCATACTGATGGTAGGGCGAAAAGGATTAAACAAGCTTTGCAATATGATCATTTGCACACTTCAAGTCCCTAATATTATAGGGAAAAGTCAGGGGAAGTCTATTAATAGAAGCCCTGTAAAGATGAGTAGGGACACTTTCAGAAATATCATACTCAGAGGCTTTCATGAAATGTGCTTTATCTAATTAAAATTGCTCCTATGAAGGCATTCCACGCTTCCCCCTCCTCCCTCCTAGCTTTTCTGAACGTTTCAAGGATTCTTACCCACATTGTACAGAAAAAGAGGGAGAACTGTAGACTAACTGGGTTGTTGCGACTGTTTTGTTTCCAGTATATCAAGGGTTGTCACGGATTGCAGCCGACTACGGAATCAATTAAGTTAATTAATTCAAAACTATAAACGAATAATACTCTCTCAGTTCTGTAGACATTTGACTTACGACTAATAATTTACCTTCGCTTAGCATGTTCTTGCATATCAATAACATCTGACCGCCAAATAACGTAGTGCGTGTTTTGTGTGTAATGTTCCTCATGCACTCTCTTCAAGAAGTCAGGCAGGTTCACTCGATCGGCTTCTGCTGAGAATTTACAAACCGAAGGCGTACTTACGTCGCTTCCAGTGTTGCCTTTATCACCATCAACCTTGCCACCCTCACAGGAAGGTTTCTTAGTAACAGCTACCATGAGAGTGATAAACCCCGCTAAAAACAGCACGGAAGCTATCACCAAGAGCACCCAAACCCAGAGAGGAATGGCAGCGCGCTTCTCATAAGGACGAAAGTTGAGCTCCTTCATTTCTTTCTCAGAGGATGTGGGAGAAGTTCCCAGTATTTCCACCTTGTCGGTACTTTTTTTCATCGAGACGCTTCCCTCCATTGCAATTAAGATTGGAGGACAAAGTCGTGCAATTCTTTATGATTTCCGTAAAGAAAACAAACGAGGAACCAGAGGCATAAGTGCAGGCGGTGACGTCTCAATTATGGGTTCAATCCCAGGGCTTTGTACCACGTGACTAGCAGTGATTTGTAAGCGTAAACAGTTGCCACCTCAAACCCCAGCGTGCTACGTAAAGATACTCTAGGCGCCGGGATTTATTTCATTTTTACTTTCCTTTTTGAAGATTTCTTTTGACTCGTTCGACGCAAAAAGCAACGACGGCATGAGTTCAAAAGAAAAGAATCCTGTAAAATTCTATCGAGATAAAAATAGATCGCAGATTTACACTTGCATGCGATCGCTAATGTACACGGTGATCGGAACTGGGGACAAACAATTTGTTAGCACTTACTAGCACATACAATACATCACTGTGAAGTGGACATAATTGTCATACCTGGATAGGATTAACTCAGTTATGGTAAAGTCTAAAAAGTACAGTCGAAGGAGGCACTTGCACTTCTTTTTATTGGGAAAAAGAGGAGGAACTGAAAAACCGTCTGACTTGCTCCTGATAAAATCGACCTACCAAACCCTTTGACCCTCAGGGGTGAATAGTTTAGCATCTAATTTCTCCTAACAACATCACCCCTGAATCACACAGTAAGCTCACGGAAAATAATCACCAACTACAGAAACTCTTGATCGTTAATCAAATTCTCCTTGTCAGCACCTTGGGAAATGTATAGAGAAGAGTAAGGAGAATGTGAATACTGATGCTAAGGTGTTAAAGGTTAAAGAAATCAGTTGTGCTACGACCAGTTGTTCCAAATCAGACCAAAGTGCGGTTACTAACACTTTTTACTATAATTCGAAAATAAAAACTGACTTTTAGTCCAACAAACATTGTCATCAATCTCTTTCTGTCGTTATTTTGTCCTTCGCTGGGGGAAATGATGTCTCTTTCCCAAGAGACCAGTGATTTTTAAAACGGCAGATTTTGGAGTAATAGCAGGATTAATTTTCTCCAAAAAAATTGCAGAAAAATTGCCATATCCATTACCCAGAGGTAATTGGTTAAAAGATTATCACGCTAAAACCTTCCTCATGTATTGAGCTTTTCAATCTCTGAGTGATTAGTTTTTTTTTTAATTTTCCTACCAAATTTAATACGCTGCCTCACAGACAGGTAACAACAAATTAGCTATCTTTCCTGAATTTATATCCAAAACGCTCATGACTTGCCGCCACATTTACGTGTTGATGTCAGTTGAAGGAGTAACCCTTCAGTTCTTGAGAGTTAAGTCTTCTTTTCAAATTTCTCGAAACGAGCCGCTATGAGGAAGCGTACCGTCTTTTAACAACACATTCACCATTACTCTGTCATTATTAAAAGCTGTTTCGTTTTAGAGTAGGGCCTGAAAGCCTCAGAGATAGCCGTCTTGAAATCCTTTAAGGCATGCTTCGTGCAAGGAGGGGACGCTAACTGTCCATTCTGTACCAACTGACATACTTCTTCAACCATGTTTAATTTGATAGCATCTGCAAAGAACAATAAACACGGAATATCAGACGCAGAGAAAGCTATTTGAGTTGAACACTTCATTTACCAGCAAAATTATCAGTATGGACACATTCTTGAATGAAAGATCGCTTTTCAATCTAACTGTTCTCCAACCAATCTGTTTTAGAGTTTTAGCCGGAATTTGGTAACTATAGGTAAGTTTGTCCGCCTGTTTGACATTTCGCAAACGTGCAAGAAACATGTTTTCGTCGTAGTTTGTCCATCTTGAAAAATAATTTTGCAATCCGCGTGAATCTCCTCCATCCTAGTTCCTTTTCGCTTTTTTCTCACCCATTTGTTGTTTGTAAACCCTTCGTTTCATTCTTTTTATTGTATTTATTTTATTCCATGGTGTTCGTGTCCAAACAATTCTACATGATGTCACATTTTTATTTCTCGTTGTGTTTCCTTAGTCCACGTAGCTTGAGGTTTTGCATGCGCTATGACTCATTGGCTAAGTTTCCTAAAACTGCCCTTTATAAACTTTTAAATGTACTGAGTAGAGAAGGTTTTTGAAAGGAATCTTAAGTAAAGTTGTCAGATTCCTTTTCTCGGTGAGCTCTTTTTCTGAGAAGCAAGGGAGAGAAGAAAGGATTGGGGCGACCATTCCCTGGTCCAGTCTCCTCCTGGATTTTCCCTCCCCACCTTCATTAATGAATATCGTCTTTTCACTTCCCCATCCCTCTCTCCTTGTTAGGAAAGTAGGCTCAATACCTTTCTGATGCTCGTTATTCCACTTGGACATCCAGAATCCTCTTACATTTACGTCATCAAATATCAGGGAGCCCTAAAGACATGACACGCAAACGGTTATGGCAAAATTTCCTGAATTATATTCTCGTCGGTGGAGGGGATCGAAAAAGCCTAATGCCTTTTTCTGCTATCTTCCACAGACAAAGAGCTTGGCCAAGAGGTAATAGATATATGTTTAATGCGGCCAATCGTCTGTTGTTTTGATTCTGCTCTTCCCTCGTCCTCCATCGTTCCTTGGCGATGGCGACAAGTTACTCCGAGGAGTGATATATGTTTGAGAGAAAACAAAAGACGAACCACTTCTCATTGGTTTTCTTGAACTACGAGATGCATCTCCAATGCAATCCTGCCGGAGTTCTTTCAGCATTCAGTTGAAGATTTCTCTACAATTGCCCAGACAGCTCTGACTGACAGGGTATTATAATAGAGAGCTTTTAGAAAGAGGAAATTAAATGACACAAACTTCCTTACGTACCGTTGGTACAGTAACGGGTTGTCTCGACATTCCGCCATAAGTGACCATCGTTCCCTTCGGCCTGAAATACAAGACTTAAATCAGTGAATGTTGCTACATGGGTAATGGACCATACCTGGCAAACTTTCTAAACTAGAATATCCATGCATATTAAAGGTAATGCGCGAGTCTCCAACCAGCAGAAGCCTTTCTAAAACGCATAAATGGCCATTTGAACCTTTCACTCCCAAGATCGCAATATTAATTCTTCTAACTTTTTTCCTTGTATTTCTCAAGGTTGGGTTCTAAGAGTTTGATGTTAGATCAGGCAATATTCCCCGTTTGATATGTTTCCTCATTCCTACCACCTCTCTACATAAAAACATACATATACTGTTAGGAAAAAAAACTTATTGGTCATTGCTAGGATTTTAAGGTTACAGGAGCTTAGTCACAATTTTTGGAGTCGTTTTCTTCAAGTTGTTTAAATCACCTTCAACATGAAGTTCATGTGGATAGGACCGACTCAAAGTTTGCTCGCCGGCACTATCGGCCTTGGGGAGGTATTTGCAAAAATTAAAACAACTAACGTTAATGTTTACTTACGCCAAGTAGCGAAATAGGCTCATGGAACTCTTGCCTCCAACGCAGTTGAGGGCAAGTTTGGGACGTTGAATATTCTGAGGGAAAATAAATAAAACCAACATCACTGGAGCGCTTTCCACAAAAAACCAAACCAAATTAATCACAACTACCAATCAGAACATATAACATAGGGATTATTATAGAGGCCGAGGAGAACTTGGAGAACAAACAAAAAAACCGTGAAAATCGGACACTAGCATCTCATTGGACGCTACTGTTTAAAATTGGACAATAGCGTCGAAAATTGAACGCTAGAGTCTAAAAGCAGACACTAGTGTCTAAAAACGGACCAAAGCGTCTAAAATCAGACAAAAGTTAGTTAATCGGACGCTAACGTCTAAAAAGAGACTAGTATCTAAATTTGGACAAAAGCGTCTAAAATCGCCCAAAAGTGTCTAAAACCAGTCCGATTTTGTTTTTAATTTTACATCTGATTGGTTGAGGAAGTGGCGCAAGATTGAAAGACCAATCACCATTGAAAAGAGCTCTGTGAACAAATCTGGCAATTCAAACTGTTAGCTAAGAAGTGTTAAAGTTAAGTACACTGACTTGTTAATAGAAAGCTGAAGCAGAGACGTTTTTGAGAAGCGGAAGGCAACCGCAAGAAGAATAAAACTAACTCTGGCGAGCTCTGAAACTAATGTAGCGACCGTAAGATATTTGTTTTTGCATTTAAAACCAAACTATACTGACCAAAAAGGTGTATTGAGCACCAGGAATAAAAACTTTTAACTTTCAGCTCCCTATTCTTACTACAGAGAAACAAACCTTAACGATTTCTTTCATTTCAGGGCTTTTCAAGTCCTCTTCGGCTATGACGAAATTAGCTCCAAGGTCTTTCAGATAATTTTTCAGCTCCTCCACATTGGGTCTGTAATGCAACAATCGGCGTTACATCAAAGGCTCTATAAGCGAAGTCGTGAACGAGGTAAACTTTACGAATATTGGCGAAAATTTTAACTGTTTCCTGAGAATATGTAATTTGTGACGATGAATTAATTTGTGTGAAATTCATATTCTGACTACAGCACTATTGAGAGGGCCAGGGGTTTTCATGAGATGTTCTTTGTATATTTAGGTGTTTGGCGGGAGATTTAGGTTATTATAGATTGGTCAGTCTTCGTCCCAGCAACCTGTTTGTTTTTGTTATTTTTATTATAATTAATTCCCTGAAATTGTATTTGCAGATGTTAATAAAACGTGTTTATCTATGTAGTTGTACTGTTTTCTCTAGGCCTCGAGCTATTGTATTAGATGAATACGGCTCCATATATTTTTTGGCCATTTCTAAAAGGTAGTTTTTTTAGGTTTTTTTCGTAACTGATGTAAGACTTCTTCTTATCTCGGTACCAAAAGTTTATACTGTAAGGTGTAACATTGATATTACGATGCATTGTGTATTTTGAAGGTCCAACACAGGCTTTGTCCATCCCGCTTCCCGCCACTTTTTTCTGCTTCATCCCACCATCCCGCCCAACAAAAAGTTTTGCCTGGTTGTACTCTAATTTGTTCATATTGATTCTAAGCCCCATCTCGCCAAACCTATGCGAGTGTCTGATGCATCGTCAATGTCTGTCATCGTTAGAATACGAGTTCGACACATTTGTGTGCTGAAAATCAGACACAAACAGATGAAAAACTGAGAAGAGTATTTGACGGAAATTGTGACATCGTTATTTACCATTGTATATGGTAGCTATGTACCTTATAAAAAAATCAGATTCTTACACATTATGTTGCCTGCAATTTGTCAAATATGAATGAGGGTACGGAGAGATTTATATTTGCTCATACGAAGGAAAAGTTTGCAACATAAAATTCTTAGGTGCATGACACTAGTGCTTTGTATGATATGATATGATATAAAATGTAGTGTTGAACAACCCTTTAACCCCTGAGAGTGACTAACATCTGATTTTTCCTTACAATGTCACCCCTGAATGAAACAATAAGGTCATGAAAATAAAGAAAATAATGACCAACCAAAGAAGCTCTTGATTGTTAAATAAATTCTCCTTGTCAGCACCTTGGGAAATGTATGGAGAACAGTGTAGAGAATATGCATGCTGATATTAAGCTGTAATGGGTTAAGAGATACGTTCCATTTACCTACTACGAATTATGTTGACAGTAATTAAGCCCCAGGCTGCTGCAATTTGGATGAGAGCCTGCCCCACACTGCTGTTAGCACCATTTTGAATCACTGTATCACCTTGAAAACACAAAAACAGCATATGATAAGACTACTTCATATAATGTTTGAGCAAATGACCACATCTGTTAATGATTTAGCAAAGTAACAACCCATGTGGGATGCTGGGAGAACACAAGAATGTTGTTCATTTTCTCAGGACAGAACACTCAACTGATACCAACAACTACTGGCACCCTAAAAATAACATCAGAGTTCTTAACCACTGAAACCAATGACCCAAAGAGAATGAACTTATTTCATCAATTGCTTCAAGTGTTATGACACAAAAGATGTTTTTGAGACATACAGCAAATAACTTCAATAATCAGCATCCACAAAAAAAAACCTTAACACATTTCATTCATGAACAACTTTTCATTTGCCCTTTATGATTTCTTCTGTTCCTTAATGAGTGTTGAAACATCCTCACCATTTTTTTTTATTAGGTGCTATAATATTTATATGGTCTTGAGGTTGACTTAAAATGCAGTCACTGTGATACATCATTTAATATTACCAGGTTGTAAATCTTCAAAGTCCTTCAATAACCTGAATGCAGTGCATGGGTTTACACTGACTGTTGCGGCAGCTTCCACAGGGAGCCCATTTGGAATTTTTAAAACTTGATCCTCTGACACCACTAAGTGTCTGCACCAAGAACCTTTTTTTTTTTTTCAGAAAAGAAAGTATGCATAAATATTTTATCTTGCAGACACTTTAATGCCTTAGAGTCAGATGAGGAAAAATATATGGCATTTAATAAGTTACAATATTGAGCAAGAGCTTTATAGATACTCCTAAATTTAGACAGCATAATCACCATTATATTATTAAACATCTAAAGTACAAAAGGCAAAACCATGCCACATCCCACAAGTATTTTTATACTTGTACTTTTTAATATCTTTATAAAGTGCAGTCCATGAACCAAATAAAGCCACAGCAGCTTTCTATTGCTCTGACAAGGCTCACTTTATCACTTGAATTTTTGTATAACAAGCCTGCTGTCTCTAGCATTGATGCCCTGAATCATTTTGGTGCTCTCAAAATACCATTTTTAAGACACATTTTCACCACTTTACCTAAACACTGATCTGATCTCAAGATGACTTGATCTCCTGTATTGAGGTTCTGTACATCCTTCCCAGTCTCTATGACTTCTCCCACTCCTTCATTTCCACCAACAGCTGGTAAGGATGGCTTCAGTGGATAACTACCTATAGATGAAATTAACCTATACTAACAGGTGTAATAGTGGCTCTGCATGAGAATTTCCTTAGCTGGAAACTGTTTGAAATGAGTACAGAGGGAACATGGAGTAAATTATATCTAGATAGAAATGAATATTTAAGGTATTCATTATGGCAGGAGTTTGCAGTCTCAAACAGAACAGTTTCAAACAGAAACTTCAAAGCTTTAGAGCATTGAATTGTTTGCATGAGTCTCATATTCCATGCATGTCGAGACTTGAGAGCTCTGTTTAACCAAAATCTTCTGTAAGTTATTTGAGGTTAATGTGTGTTGTAAATTTGATTTGTAACAGTTGTTAATTGAGCTGGGAGTACCACAGTATGCAGAGTAACCACAGAATACCTTGCCATCTCATTCACTAATGACAGTCCTAGCTATTAATACTAAGGCAATAAAAACTGACAATATTTATTTCAAACAAAATTCTGGTTATTCTGGTGTTTTGATAAATAAACCATCATAAATGAACATGGAAAACCTTGAATCTGATTGATATCAGCTGGATTTATTGGAGCAGCTAACATCCTTACTGACACAGAATTGCAACCAAATTTGCCTGTTTCTGCATTCTCCAATCTGTTTGATTTAATTTAAAAATAAATATTAATATTTCCTTTCTCAATTGATAAAAATTGATGTGCAGAAATTGACTGAGTTGATAATAAATGTGCTGTCTACAACCGAAAGCATGACACCTGCATGAACATACCCCTGATAAAATTGAGGAATATTCAAGTTCATAATATTCTCCAATGTTCAAAACTTACATCCACAATCAAATCAAAAAGCGGGAAGCATCGTAAACATATTAAAATTAAAGAAGAATTTTTAACAAGCCATAAAAAATCGAATTTTTATTTCTTCACAATCATCCTCACCTCTCACCTCAAAACTTTCTCTGGATCTCCGTGTTCAGAATAAACGACAGATTCGGATTTAGTACCAAATAACCGCCAAATATTTGAAAACGAAACGTTTTTCCTTGCTAGCTCAGGATGCATAACCTTTAACAACCTAGCCGCCATATTGGAATCATTCTAGATCCCAGATCCCACTCCTAACCCTGTTCTTTATGTTCTGAAATTTAAAAAGTGTCCCAACATTTATTCCGAGGTGTTTCCATTTTATTTGTACAGTTCACTGTCCGTTTGTTTTACTTGACTAATTGATGAAATGGCTAAAAATGTGAGAAAAAGACTCGCAAAAAAGACCAAATTTCACACAGCTGCCTAAATTTCCATGACAACTCTCAAACAACTTTCCCAACATGGCTGCCATAATCGCGTATTCTGATTGGTTGACATAGAATTTTCGTCTGAAGTCAAAAGCCAAACACCATATCTTGATAAACTTTCGCGTCGTTCCTCCTGTAATTCGCGGAAATCAAAGAGTTTATGGCTCATGGCCATTGCCAAAATGTAGGAAATTCGATAAACTACTCTCATTTCAACTCTGTAAAATGGATTCTGGAGAGCATGTGCGATTTTAATCATGGCAGTGAAATGGCAAACGACTTTGTGGTTTTACCTAGAGATGCTGAAGAATAAATGTGAACTACGGCAAATTGTCTCTGAAACGTGTCCAGTTCACAGCAAAAAGTGTTCATTAAGCTACTAGGATGTCAACAGATTCATCTAGTGACAATATCGACGCACTTACAGAAAAGAACTTGGTAAGTTAATTCAAATTTTTGAGATGATACGAATTGAGTTACATTTATCAAATAATCAGTCAAATTGACATGTATCACATTTCCTCGTTTGTTACACTTCAAGTTTCATGTAAGACGTTGGGAATTTTACTCCATAAGACTTTGCAATCTCGTCGATAGTTAAATAGTTTTTGCTAAGTTTCCTTGGCTATGTTTATAGTAGGAGCACGACGTTAATATAGCCATTGTACGAAGATAGAATTTTTCAATTTATCAGACATCGCAATCTCTCTGACAATTACTTTAATTTAGAGGAATTAAAGGTTTCTTTGGGAAAAGCCAAATTCGATATTTTGAAATTCAATGCCGTCAATGTTTTCCCTAATAACAAAAGCTCGTTTTGACTTTTAAAACTCAGCAGAAAAGAGAACAGACCTCAGCATGTGGCTCTGGTTAAAAAAAAAAAAAAAAAAACACCATGTCTTGATATCAATCTTGGCAAAGTGCTATTATATGCTTAATATTTGTGAGTAAGAAAAAAGAGACCTTCTTGTCTTTCCTTTGGTAAATTGTTTTTGAAAATTACCATTTCAAAAGATTAGACAATATCATTTTTATAATAAGCCAAAGAATGAAGACATTTCATAAGGAAATTAAAGATATTGAGATATTTAGGCCAAAGTTAGAGGAATATATCTGCCTCTTGTTAGAGATGGTGTTGACAACCAAAACAGAAGCTTAATATTATATTGTTACAAAACTGGTAAATCTCTTGAGGGAAAGTAAGTAAAAAAGTAAAGCCTTTATATGGGCCCAAGTGGCCCATGGGGCCAGTGCTTAACTCCAGTTTTCTTAGCATGAAGCGGCTAGAAGTATTGCTATTCCCCCCTGGATGGGATGGTAGTCCATCAAAGGGTTACCCCCAGCACATTTGCTGTTACCCATTTGTACACCTGGGTGAAGAGAAGCACTGTGAGAGTAAAGTGTCTTGCCTAAGAACACAACACAATGACCACAGCCAGGGCTCGAACCCAGACCACTCAATCCAGAGTTAAGCGCACTGACCATGAGGCCACCACGCCTCCACTCTTGAGGGAAAACTTTGAGATAAATTAATTAGGTTTCCTTTTGTAACTCCCACTCTTAAGGGTTGAGGTTTATTCGAAAGTACTCTAGGGTCAGCAACCTTGAGTACAGATCTGTAAATTAAATTTTGGGTTGATTGGTGAATGGAATATAATGTTACTGGTGTATTGATTTTTATCATGGAACCACCTTGATAGATACTGAAAACTTTTTTTCAGGAATCCTTGTTACAGGAAGATGAAGGATTTGTAGATTTCTTTAACAATTTTCTTGCATTACCAGTAAGTGTAGTAATTTTCTTGTGTGTAACTTGTTTCTATGATAGATTTATAAGGTCCTGTTCTGGCATTTGTGGTTCTTACATGTGTAAATGAAGGCTTCACAAGGAGTGATTTAACCCTTTGAATTTTAACATCAGTATGCATATTCTCCACACTTACCTCTGCACATTTTCTGTGGTACTGTTAAGGAGAATTTGTCAAACAACAAGAGCTTCTTTTAAGTCAGGGACCTCTTCCTTTATTCGCATGACCTTACTGTCTAATTCAGAGGTGATATTGTACAGAGAAATTATTTGGCAGTTACTCCTAGGGATAAAAGGGTTATGCAAGTGGTCTTTTTGTAACATTTTAAACATGACTTGTAGTGAGTAATAAAAGGTGAGGTATGAGCAAGCTGTTGTATCAAATAAATAGAAAGTTTTAATCAAGAATAATCAAAATTCTAATAGAGAAGTGTGCTTGAAAACAATTTTAATATATACCACAAAATGATTTCTTTCTGATATTTAGTGATTGACAGAGTGTGTCATGTCCAGTTTTAAATGCTGTTCACCCACAGGAACTTGTATATTTAAATTCCAGTCAATCAGCATAATCAAGTTTCCAAGGTATTTGTAATTTTCTAAATAACTTTTCTTTCAGTGCTTTGCAGAGCGTCTTCACTACAACACAGAACTTGGAGTTTTTGAGGAATTTATTGAAAAGTTAGCTGATGATGTGGGTAAAGGAGATGCCAAGGCTGCATCACAGCTGCGTCAATTCACACATTTTAAAGGAACCATCTACAATGTGGCTGCCAATCAATCACGCATAGGTTATTATGTGACTGTACTTGACAAGGTACAAGGCCTGGAATTTGTAAAGAAGTACAGACTGCATCTCTTCCTTAGAAGTGAGCTTTATGCTGAATACAAACTGACTAAACACCTTTCAACTGTCCAGGTACGGTATGCTCCCTGTACATGAAGAACTAGCTTGACTATTAGTAGTACTGCTTCAAAAGAACCTCGCGGGCTCCTCTCTGAATCCGTGAGAGGTCTCGCTCACATCAATATGCATATTCTCCATACTGTTCTTTATACATTTCCTAGGGTGCTAACAAGGAGAATTTGTTGAACAGTCAAGAGCTCCTTTAGTTGGTGATCATTTCCTTTATTCTCGTGACCTTAATGTGTGATTCAGGGGTGATATTATAAGGAGAAATTAGATGCTCGTCATCCTTAGGGGCTAAAGGATTAACAGGGATTGCAAATGGAAAACTTGAAAGATTAAGGCTAAAATGTGGTAGCAACAGCTGTAGGCCATTAAACTTTTACGCAGTGTAGGTTGAAACAAATTGTTATTTCCTCTTACAGGAGTCCTTCTTCCGCGACTTGCACCCAGAAAGCTCAGAGGATGATGACAGCGGAGTCGAAGAAGCCGCCGTTTTCCACCCTGCAGGTCGAAGACGGAGTGTTGTTAGTTTCAATTTAACTCCTTCCTTGGGCGAAGCGCCATCCCCCGATACGGATAGGGACGCTGAGAATGAAGGAATTATGTACCTTCCAACCAATGTGCGATCCATTGAAGAAACCTTCGATGCCTGGCATGAGTCATTTAAACGTACAGAGAGCCGTGCTAGTATGTTTAGCTGTGGGGATGGGAGCTATCGTAAGCTGAACACTCCACAGATTATGGAAGAAGACGAAGCTTCAGCGACACGATCAACGTCGAGCTGCTTCAGTACTAAGGAGAGTGAATCCTCTGCTTCAAACAACGCGAGGCCCGTCTCAGGATTGAGCATTGCTAGTGACAATACTGAAAAGGGGCTGAGTCCTGCGGAGCCCAGTTCTAGGATCAGTTCGGCGAGTACTGTATCTTTTTTCTTAGAAAATCAAAGTTCGTTTGTTTTAAACCAAGAAGAATCAAATGCTTGTGATCTGGATTCGGAGAGTAGGGGGGATCGTCTTGGCGCGGATGAAATGACGCGCAGTTTGTCTTCAGCGCTAAGTTTTATAACCGAGCATGGGAAAGTGATAGGGAACTCTTCTGCCCCAGGAAGTATCATTGGTGAAACAGATTTAGGGGAACAAGAAGACGCAACAAGGAAAGAAGATAACACAAGCGAAAAAGACTTTGTTGTCGAAGAAGCGGGTATTGCAGGTCGAGAGGGCATTTCTTCTAGAGAAGAGGCAGAAAGAGAAAGTGTACCACCCGGGGAGAAAGATTCTGTTGTAGAGTTCGAGCAATTTGCGGAGCACAAGAACTCATGTTTTAAGGAAGGTATAGAGGAGAATCTCGCTAAGACTGAGAGGGACGGGTATCCCTTAGAATGTGAGTCTCTAACTGGTAGCAGCACGGTTGAAAATACTACACCTGACGGTACTCGGTCTGAAATGGGTATGGGAAACTCTGAGAGTGATGTTATTAAGGAGCCTCTGACACCAGATCTCGGGGCACAAAGAAAAAGTGGTAATGAGGACGCGAGGGAAAGTCTAGATGAAGAACAAGTGCCAAGTATTGATATAGAAGTTACGTGCAGTGATGAAGAGGAAACTTTGGATAAGGAAACTGCTTTGAATGACGACGCGGTTGATTTAAATTCTGTTGCTGACTCTAACAGTGGAGAGAACTGTGGATCGGTCGCAGCACGCGTGGAATTATCTCTCAACACTGAAGATATTTTTATCATAAAAGAAAAGGCGTCTGTTTCGAATGCACCTGACTATACTGGGCAAGTAGACGACAATTTAGGTGGAAATGACGAAAAGCGAAATAGTTCAAGAACACAGAGGGACGAGGGAAAACCAACTGTTTCAGACGAGGATTGTCTTCATTGTAAAAATGCAAAACGTAAGAATGTGTCCCCAACTCTAGATTTGGATACTTCACTTGGAGAACGCAGCACTTCAAGTAAAGAGGAATTAAAGAAAGTGAACTTATCGAATGTTGGTTCTGATCCTGGAGAGATAGGGTCTGTTGACGAGTATAGTGGACATAGAAGCGCTCAGAGTGGAAGCATAGCTGAAGAAATATCGAACACAGGAATATCGGCGTTATCAGAAGTGGATGCGGACTCGGAGAATAACAATAAAGAAACTTCGTTTCAGGGTCGTGAGAATGATGATACAGAAATGGCGACTGGTGAAATCGAATCTAAGAAACAAGATCTCCAAGGAGAAGAACCCTCCCCGGGAAAAGATTCCGATGACGATGACGATGACGATGACCGCGAAGATGACGATGAAGCAGGTTACACAACCGAGGCCAGTGCGACAACTCTTCAAGGAATTCGAGGCATCTTCGGCTCCAGACGACGTAGCAGTTTGGCGGCTACTTCGGTTGGTTTTGACGCGGGAGATGATTCAATGTTCAGTGACGATGGTTCTGAACTGGACGACAAACCGTATGATTTAGCTACCAAAGAAGGTTTCGACATGTTCAGAGAGTTCCTTTTGGAGACAAGTGGGGAGAAATTATTACAGTTTTGGTTGGAAGTTGAGTGTGGAAAGTACTTGGAAAATGAGGACGAAAGAAACAGGTATTTGTTTTAATGCCATTGCTGTATAATTTTTTTTTCTTCATGCGCGGGTATGATATTCAAAAGGCTTGCAAAAAAAACACAAAAACAAAAATGAAACAGACCGAAACGGAATAAGAACACATAGAATTTCCTGATGCCACATCTTCCCTCAAAATATTGTCATTTTAAAGTGAATAATCAAAATAGGTGGCTTCCCTGTCGAACAAAAAAATTGTCATTTATTGACCTATGAAACGATCTTTCTAAAATTAGTTTCGGACATAACACGGCTTGTGCAAGAAGTGTTGAAAGTAATCCGGGATGACTTTGGTTTTGCCCTACTTCTTGCGCAAGAACCACATGTTACGAGCCTAGAAGCTAATGAGGCTACGAGGATTTTCCTAAACCATGATCTTCCACAAAAACGCGATTGGCTATGGTTTTGCTCCTGATTGGTTAGCAAATAGTGCGAGATTTGTGAGCCAGTCACAGAGGGAAGTGAATTAGGGCGCTGTTCGACCGAGTGTAGAAAAACCAAAATCAAATCAATCACAACCGTCAGGCAGGTGAAAGGAGTATATCACAAGGAGCGAATTGCAACTTAACATAGAAACAAGCAGATTTCCTGAAGCGCAGAAAAACGGACATGCCTTAGTCGCGTTTGGCTTTAGTTTTGAAATTGTTTCGTAGCGAAAGTGCCGCGAGTTTCTGTTTTTGTCACACGGCGAAGTAGGGCAAAACCAAAGTCATCCTGGATTACTTTTAACACTCACATGAAAATTGAATTACCCTAAAATCAATGCAATCCCTTTTTCCTTCGTACACGTAATTGGAAACCTCTCTAAACTGTTCTCTCCCTAGATTGGTGCAGTCTCTTCGTGATAGATTTTGGAGAAGCGGAGGAATTTACGAGTTCTCTGCAGTTACAAAATCAAGATTAAATTTGGTGGATGCATCGACATTGACTTTCGAGAGGTTGTTCTCCATTCAGCCTGACGTACTCAGACCTCTGTTAAGTTACTGGTAAGTTCTTTCCTTTTTAAAAAACCGAGACGGGAACGACAACGAAGACATGGCAAAACAAAAGATCTGATGGGCAGAACAATAGCTCAGCACGTGCGTCTTAAAACGTTGTACAATTCGAAGACGTCATCTGCAAAACAACACCGTGATCTCCTAAACTGACGCACTTGCAAATAGAAACACCGACGGCTAATTATCAAAGTTTGCTTTTGAAACACTGCTCATATGCGTTATGATGAAGTTGAGGTGTGGTGACGACAAACAAATCCAATGCTTTGCAAAATTCTCACTCAAGAATTGATATCAATTCAGTTTTCTAATCCACGTCACCCCCCCAACTGCGTAAGGTCCCTTCCATATTAGTGCCAGCATCTTGGACGCCGCTTCCTGCTCCCATATGGTACCCGAAAAAAATATTTTTCAGTTCACAGTAATTCCTATCTCTCCAAAAAATAATGTACTGTGTGATGGAAAACGACTGCAAAACGAATTTTTGATACCATTCGCATGCAAAGCATTCTGTTAAAACTTTAATTTACTGCTGTATTGTATTCACAGGTGTATACGTTTTACGATGCATCAGCAACGTGTTTCTCACTCTCATGACCACGATTACAACACAATGTCACAAGACAGGCTGAAATCATGTTTTAGACGTGAGATCGCATCATCAAACCTTCCACAAGTCCCTGCGCACGTGGGTCTGTCCCAAGTTCTAGCGAACAACACCTTGGCCAGGCCCCAAAGTAGCTTTGTCAAGAACCGGCCGGTAACGCAACACCAGACATCCAGACCTCAAGTACGAGCCAAATCTGCTCATCCACGGCTTTTGCAAGCGAATAAGTATATGCATACTAATGCAAGTACGACGCAATTACAGGTGGGTGACAAAGAACAGGGAATTTTTACGTTGAGTTTTTGGACAGGGGAATTCTCCCGAAAAAAATTCAAATTCCTCCACTAACGGTGGCATGGGAAACGTATTTATGGAATCGTAAAGGAATGGAAGGAAAAGGTTGATCAAAGCTGGTTTTAATGTGGCTTACATCGTATTTGATTGAAAATGAACGAATAGCCAGCAGGTTTGATCCATGTTGTGAGATAGAACGTGGTTGTACTGTACCACTGATATACTTTCACTTTACTTGTCGCGTCATTCCCAAGACCTCATTATTATATCTCATTACTGTCTGCCATACAATTCTTATGATGATGGTTCGAAGAATTTGGTATTGGATCAACTAATAATCCCCTAATTGATAGCTCTCTTTATTCTCGTCACTTTTCTGTTTGATGTTGTTTAGATATTATAAGTAGAAATTCTGTCTTGGTCACTCATGCAAGTTAAAGGGTTGAAGAGCTGTTGGCATGAGTGCCCTAAAACCAGAACTAAATCAGTAAGCATAAAGAGAAATAAGAACATAGCAGACTATTACCGGGAACCAATCAGAACTCAAAGCAGAAACCAGTGAACTGCCTAAGGCGCGGGAAAACGCGACTGACCAAGTCTCGATTGGGTTTAGTCTTGCGTATGATTGGTTGTGAGAGCTGCCTGACTTTTCTAGAACAAATGAAATCCCAGATTATGTTGACAATATGTGAGAAAATTGTTCTTCGACGTAATTTTTTTGTTTTTTTCAGAACATTATTGCTCCTGTGAGGACGGGATACGGTTTTGAGCAGCCCCCGGGACCGTCCTTTCCTGTTGAACCTGAACCAGACTATGCACCCTCCGTTAGGCTGTTTATCAACCCCGTGCCCTCCCCTGATAGTAAAATTCAGAGAATGATGAGGTGAGTAAAATGTACCCTCGACACGTGACGCTTTTGACTGTGTTGACTCTGGCAGTAGACAGGACGCGTGTCACATGTGAACTTAGTAATGAAGTAGCTCACCATAGAGTTGAAAACAGAACTTGCCAAACTTTGCTCAGGGCATTGAATTCCGTTCGCTCGCTTTTTTCTGAAATATCTTAATAGACTTAATATTTTCAATTGATTTCGCTGTCTCTTATTTGTATTTTTGCTTCTGTTCTCCTTATGAAGGACGCTCCACCGAACTTCTATTTATGTCGAGGGTTCTAAGCCGGCTCTTGCCAGAGAAACTGGATCCAAGACCGCCGCTATGATGGATTCGTTGATACAGGGACTGATTTACGAGCGGCAGACTGGGGACTACTTTAAATTGTTTTTGCAGAAGTCAGGAAACGAGGTAATTAGAAGACTAATTAGTTGGAGAGCTACCCTTGCACTTGCGCGATGAATGGCAAACCCACTCAAATCTTCACTGCAGGCAACCCAACTTCCAACTCCTTCTTTGGAGGCTTCTTAAGCTTGTCCTTGGTTAAGAACCAAACTCAAAGTCCGACTATGTGCTTATAATTGTTATGTGAATGCTTACGTTCCATAATCGGTGAGTTTAATGTTCAATCGTTCTCTTGTAGACCTGGATGAACTGCTTGGCTTTTTGGAAATCTCTTCAAGAGTACAACGCGTACTTTTTTGCCGATTCTCTCAATCCGTCCCTATTGTCAAGGAAGGCACGGGTATGGACTAAGTAATTATTTCAAGAAGAACCTAATAACATAAATAAATCACGAATAATGTAAAACAGTTGGTCTGAAAATGAAACAAAATAGACGTCTGGAACAGTTGGAACATGTGATCGTCTAAAGATCCCGGCTGATATAGGAGTTAACAGAGAATGTCATTAACTCCTTACACCCTAACATCAGTATCCATATTCTCCAAACTCTTCTCCATAAATTTCTTTTAGTACTGATGATGAGAGTTTGTAATTTGTGTAACAAACAAAGCTTCTTAGGTTGGCGATCGTTTCCTATATTCTCAAAATCTTAATGAATGATCTAGTAGTATTTCTTTAAAGAGAAAATAGATACTGGTCTCTCTAAGTGTTTAAAGGGTTAAAAATGTTGCAGCACGCAGGACTTTCTTGGAGCAAACTGAAATGGCCATCAAGAGTAGCGTTACTTTCCGTGGATAGGATCGTAGTCGATCGCATGTTAAACCTCCCCTCCTTCCCCCTTCACTTCGCAACGACATTTTCTGATCCCGGGGTACAGCGGGAGAAAAGTGTCATTCCAAAACACAACCCAATAACCTTGGCTACATCTCAGTTCAACTCTGACCTTTGGAGACTATTAAGCCACAGTTGTTAATTCCTGTTTAGAGTATGCTAACTTTGTAGGTAATCTTATCGGTTACATTGATCTTTCACAATCCATAGACAATGTACGCCAATTTCGTCGTATCAGGCAGCGCTCAGGATGTTCATGTGCACAGGGACATTCAGGTGCAGGTACATAAAGAACTGGAACCACCGTATGAGGAGCTATTTGACGCAGTCGAGGAGCATGTTCTTCATTCACTTCTGGAACCCTGGCAACTTCATTTAGAGCAAGAAAAAAGCGTGTTCAATGCTGAGGTTAGGTTTAAAATTTTGATTTTTGCGTCTAAGCTCACTGCTTCTTCTTACTTAAACGAACGCATCCATTCCTCTACGAGATTCCGGCTCTCCGAGAAACTTCTATTCAATCATGATTTCACCCTTTCACTCCCAAGATCTTGCGTCAATACAGATAAATGTCATCCATTTTCATTTTACTATCATCTTTAATTAGGTACCTAAACAACAGACCTTGAGGCATATTGAAATTCAAGTGGTGGCGAAACGAAGGCAGAGCATTATTTCAACTCGTAGAGGGGTAAGAACGAGTCAATTTAGAGCACACAGAGTAGTATTCACCGACAACAGTCTCCCCTTCTTAACTAAAGTTAGATCTGTTGGTGTTTTCAAGTTTGCTTCCTGAAAAATATGGAATAGTCACTTTTGATTTTTTAATAAATTACAGACTTTCTTGATGTTTGACGTAGCCTGCGAGTAGCTCCTCATTATTAAGCAACGCTAGGCGGCGGGGAGAGATCTGCAAGGGGTCTGGCACTAATAATAAGTCACCAGACTCCCGGCAAACCTCTCCCCGACCAGTCCTAAATCTTGCGGGTGGAGAAACACGCGTGCTGCAGCGTTGTTTGTTTTGTTTTGCTTTGTTCTGTTTCCGAAAAACTTCAACGTGCAAGTTATGGTAATTGGCGGTTTTGCTCGTCAATTATTTCTCAGATCCTTATTTTCAATTGTGTGTCGATCTATTTCCTCACTTATTTACCACTGCATTATTTTATTTTATTTTTCCATTAATTTATTTCATATGATTAGTTGTTGCACGCTTATTATTTTGAAGCTTGACCCAGCCGAAGACGATCATGAAAAAGAGCGAATTTCTGTAGAAGAAGCCAACAGACCTTTCCCTGTTCCAAAAGATGGAATCACGTTTGAATCACTCATAAGAAACCGAGACGAAGTGGAATACTTCAAAGAATTCCTCAACAAGAAACATAACAGAGGTGAGGGCAAGGGTCTGGAAGGGGAGGGTGGTTCCCACTCAAGACTGGGGGAGTGCTTGTCGGGAATTTGAAATGTAAACTCGAAAGGAGACTATTTCTATGCTGGCTGAGGCCCCACTTGATCCCCTTTGGTTACTATATAGATACATAAAAAAAGTACGAGCTACCGTGATTTTGAAGAAGATTTCACCTACTCGAAACGTCATTACTCCTTATCCTTTCGTAATTCACTGAAAGGAACCTTGATTTTTTTCATTAAGTTATACCTACTGTACTAAAAACCCTAAGTGAGGCTTATATCAGTAATTAGCTCCTCTGTCGGGAACTGGGGCACGCATTAAAGCAACTATGTAATCGTTGGCTACGGAATATGTCAACTACAGGAAGTGCCTACCCAATAAACTGACCAGCCGAAGCATTGTAAGTTCTGTTAGATCTCGACCGTGATTATGACCAAATCTTAAGAAAACTGGCGATCACTGAATAGCGTAAGCATCTATATTGTGACTTGTCTTGGATTGTCTCCAGAGGCCGGAGAATTCCAACAAACCTCTTCGCGAGACGATAAGCTTCTTCGGGGGGCGAGGTGGACCTCATCATCTCAGCATCGTTTTATCATTACCTGTTCTATTTCTGACGCTCAGCATCACGTTATCTTGTGTTCTTAAGGTATCAAAGATCTCATGGCTTGGACAGACATGGAGACTTTTCGTCGCGTTCCCCGATTCATGGAAGAGAAACGTGACAAGAAAGCCAAAGAAATTCGCGAGAACTGGCTCGGTAAGAAATATTTCTTTGGAGCTGACAGCCCAGCAACAAGGGATGGCCAAAACTTGGTAGGATAAACAGTTCATGTTGTTATTGTTCTCGCCTTTAGTCCTGTACTTATCAAATATTACATCTCCCCATCCTCCCTTGTTTCCGATTTCTTCCTTTCCCTAGTTTTTTTTTTGGTTTGTTTTTCTTTATTGTAGCTAGATACGATTCATTTCTCGCGAAAACTGTTGTTCGCCTGTCAACTCGCTTATGTCGGCGGTTACATTGCGCACGCGTTCGTTTACATTATTTCCGTTTATATCTCTGTTTCCTTGCATCCTGCACTTGTCTCTTTTTGCCTGTTTGTGTTTTCCGTTACACATTTTGCCTCGTCATGTATCGAGTCAATTCTGTAGTTATGGCTGTATGTAGTTTCCCGTGGTACATCTGTGTGTTGAGAGTCACTAGACACTTGTGGCCATTTTGGTTTTCATTCCGCAGGTTGTACTCAGCTGCTCAATCAAAACCAATCTAAGCAGCTGTTGTTTTCTAACTTTTTTCCTTGGATGTTCTCTCATTCACAGATAATGAACATAAACGGGGGACGCCCGATAAAGGAACGACCCCAGTCGCCAGTTATACTCGAAAGCCAGAAGTTTGTTCGCGCGCGAATTGAGCGCCGATGGTTGATGTTATTTAAACAAACGGCAGAATTTCTAGAAAGGCAAAAACCTCGCGCAGTTAGCGTGCCAGAGATGGTAGAGGACATCATGTTGAAGAGGCGGCTGCAGAGGAGTGAAGCCGCTTGGAAGGTAAACATTCTTTAGAACAACTATTAGATGAGTATCTGAATAAAGCGGGATTGCGTGGATTTTGCTTCATTACTTCCGTTGATTGGTCAAGAAATTTGGCGCCAATTTCTCAACCAATCAAATGGGAAATTATACCTAATCGCGACTTAGTCACTTTTGTTTTCCCGGGCTTCTGTTAGTTTGCTTTTTCTCTTAATTGAGTTATCATTGGCTCCTTGTGATATTTGTCTTTCTTCTCATTGGCTGCTGTGATAAGAAGCGCTCAGTCGCTTAGGATCGGTTACCTGCGTCAGTTACGAGTCTTATTGAAGCTCTTTCTGTCATTGTCCTTTTTTATTGTTTGGCCGAAGTTCAACCCAGCTGCGCGTCACATGAGGTTAATTTGTTTTTGTCTCTCCAATTAAGATTTTAAACAGCAGGTGGGTGTCTTCGTCGCGTGACG